AATCTGGCTGGAATTCTGAGGCTCCTGTGAAACAGATCTTTGTAGATTGCTGGAAACAATGACACTCTTGGTAAGTATTGTTCTGACTCAAGTTAGAGGGTTACCTATTTATATCATGTTTAACTGTATTCTTTTTCCAAATGGCATAGGAGTGCATAACTATAGTTCCCTCCATAGTACGGGAGAGGGATTTTATAATTGACATTAGTTGTAAAATCCCACACTTGTTTTCGAAAATTTGAGAACATATCAGTAAATCAAAATAAAAAAGAGGACAAAGGGGCCTGCAGACACTCCCCTTATTGGTGTTTTTTCTTTCCATAAAAAAGTATCTCACTTCGTTTCAGCAAGCTACTATCAATATATAATTTGAATAGGTCAAGGTCATTTCATTTCAAAATCAAGAAACATGACACTATGCCTATCACAAGCAGTTGTTTAAGTATTTAAACATAATTAACCCACGTGACCTTCAATGTATGTCAAGGTCATATTTGTAACAATTGTCATTACATCACTCAAAGCCTTTCAGTTCTTCATAAATTAAGAGCTTTAATTAATTTAACCCTTACCACTAGCTGAGTCGAGGTAGTTTATATGATGACACTGGGTCTTTTAGTTTGAATGTTTGGACCTAGAAATGAGTTGAAGTCATACATGTTTGCAAGCTTTGTATCACTTCAAGCTACTGACAATTAACATAGCATAATTCTGGTTCTATTGCAGAAGTCAGTTGAGTTTTTCAACAAAGTTGACCCATGAATATGGATCAAGGTCATTATTTTCCCATGCCAGCAAGCTGTTGGCCATATCTTACGACTGTATGCGTTTTGATTCTTCAGAAAAAATCGTTCGAAATAACGGTTTATTTACATATTTTTTTAATGTCTTTAATACATTTTCAGTTTCAACTGCACTCACACGTGTAAAGATTTAAAGCTCAACACAAAAAAAAACCCACCATAACATCGATGGAGAAACTGACAAAGCTACTTGACTGCTAACACTAGGACCTATAAATTTTGATAAGATGTATGCCCAGGATGTATCTATTGTGGAAGTTAAGGGATATAACATGTAACTCATTGCTAAACGCAAATAACAAAGCGTTGTTGAGGATGTTTTAATAATCGCTGGGCCAGAAACAGTAGGTCACAATCAATACCCGATGCGTGAAATGTTGCTAGGATAAAACTATTGTCTGAATTTGGTTTTTCCAGCAGTTTGATTTGTATCCTAGAGTAAACAGATGTGACCTACAGTAGACAAAAGTGACCTACAGTATACAGAGTTGAGCTACAGTAAAACATGTGAACTACAGTATGTTAATGTTACCTAAAGTATACAGATATGATCGATAGTATACATATGTGACCTACAGTATAAAGATGTGACCTACATTATACAGATTTGACCTACAGTATACAGATGTGACCTACAGCATAAAGATGTGGCCTACAGTATAAAGCTGTGACCTACAGTATATATATGTGACCTACAGTATACAGATATTACCTAGTGTACAGATGTGACCTACAGTATACAGATGTGAGCTACAGTATACAGATGTGACCTACAGTGTACAGATATGACCTACAGTGTACAGATGTGACCTAGTGTACAGATATGACCTACAGTGTACAGATGTGACCTACAGTGTACAGATGTGACCTACAGTATATATATGTGAGCTACAGTATACAGATGTGGCCTACAGTGTACAGATGTGACCTACAGTATACAGATGTGACCTACAGTATATAGATGTGACATACAGTATATATATGTGAGCTACAGTATAGAGATGTGACCTACAGTGTACAAATGTGACCTACAGTGTACAGATGTGACCTACACTATACAGATGTGACCTACACTATACAGATGTGGCCTACAGTATAAAGATGTGACCTACACTATACAGATGTGGCCTACACTATACAGATGTGACCTACACTATACAAATGTGACCTACAGTGTACAGATGTGACCTACACTATACAGATGTGACCTACACTATACAAATGTGACCTACAGTGTACAGATGTGACCTACAGTATACAGATGTGACCTACAGCGTACTGATGTATCCTACAGTATACAGATGTGACCTACACTGTACAGATGTGACCTACACTATATAGATGTGACCTACACTATACAAATGTGACCTACAGTGTACAGATGTGACCTACATTATACAGATGTGTCCTACAGTATACAGATGTCACCTTCAGTATATATAGGTGAGCTACAGTATACAGATGTGGCCAACAGTATACAGATGTGACCTATAGAAAACATATTTGACCTATAGTGTACAGATGTGACCTACACTATACAGATCCCCCCTACACTATAAAGATGTGGCCTACAGTATACAGATGTGACCTACACTACACAGATGTGACCTACACTATACAGATGTGTCCTACAGTATACAGATGTCACCTTCAGTATATATATGTGAGCTACAGTATACAGATGTGGCCTACAGTATACAAATGTGACCTACAGTATACAGATGTGACCTACACTACACAGATGTGACCTACACTATACAGATGTGACCTACAGTATACATATTTGGCCTACAGTATGCAGATGTGACCTTCAGTTTGCAGGAGGGACCTACAGTATATAGATGTGACCTACAGTATGCAGATGTGACCTTCAGTTTGCAGGAGAGACCTACAGTATACGGATGTGACCTACAGTATACAGATGTGACCTACAGTATACAGATGTGACCTTCAGTATAGAGATGTGGCCTACAGTATATAGATGTGACCTACAGTATACAGATGTGACCTACAGTATACATATTTGACCTACAGTATGCAGATGTGACCTTCAGTTTGCAGGAGTGACCTACAGTATATAGATGTGACCTACAGTATACAGATGTGACCTTCAGTATAGAGATTTGACCTACAGTATACAGATGTGACCTACAGTATATAGATGTGACTTACATTACCGTATACAGATGTGATCTACACTTTGCTTATGTGAGTTACACTACACCAATGTGACTCAGGGTGTACAATTGTGGGCTAGAGTAGAATGACCTAGATTACAAAGATGTGACATAGGGCATGTTGACTTTACTTAGAATAGAGTACAAAGACATGTCCAATAGTACTGGAATTTGACCTGTAGTGTGGCTGAAACCTCTTCCCCTGGAGAAATACACAATATTAACCCCCTTAGTCTGTATTTGCTTTAAATACCTTGAACCATGCAGATAAATCTTTTGAAATATCTATTGTATTTCTCCTATATAGTGTCCATCTAAACAACAACAACTTGTTTTACTTTGAATTTGTAATTTATTAGGTTCATTAAATCTGAACAAAGGTACATAGTATCCTTCACATGTGAGAATTAACATTGAATGCAAACACACATACTAATTGTTTTCAGTTGTTCAATTGTACTCTTTAAATTTCATCTTATTGATTCAATTGATCTAACAATGACACACAAATCATGAACATTAACAATAAAGCATATATACAATGTATTGTTTAGTGGAAAACATATATTTTTATAAGTAATCAACATATTGTGAATTGCAAAAATCAATACAAAACTCTTAACTCTGGATGATACCGGTCAGCCGCCGCTTATTTTCATTTTTGGTAAGAAATCGCAGGGCTATTTTTGTAAGGAATCGCAGGGCTATTTTTGGTAAGGAATCGCAGGGCTATTTTTGGTAAGGAATCACAGGGCTATTTTTAAAGCAGTATCATTTTCATAATCATTTAGATAGTAGGACATCAATGGCTTATTTTCCTTTTGGCATGAACAAATATAATGTTCTGCAAGACTAGTATTTTTGAACAAAATCAAATTGATCTTTTCTCTCATGAATTTTTAGCAATAAAGATATTGTGATATGATGAATACCTGTAAAACCTTTAATCTACTGCTTCACTACAAGGAATCATATTTTGAAATTTGTGAAATTGACGTGTTCGAACAAGATTTGTTCAACAATGGCATTATTTTCTGATTTTTTTTGTTAAACAGGGGACGATTATTATGATTTAAACATTCGATACTGAGAAGCCATTTCTCAAGTTTGTTTCAGACTCGTTCTTGGGTCTGTATAAAAAGAAATGAAATGAAGTCGCTGAGACTCAAGATGACCTTGACCTTGGCACCCTGAAACACGAACTCGTTCCAGGTATTCACATACCTGACCAATGTGTGGAGTGAGGTCAATATCCTCTCAGGAATGAAGTCACTAGAGCGATGATTTTTTTTTTTATAAATACCCACAGTGACCTTCACCTTTAAATCCTTCAACACAAACTTGCTCAAGGTACATATTGTATCTTCATACTTGATCTATATAATGTAGTTTAATCACGGTCCTATCAGTAAAGGAGTCACTAGACTGATGATTGATGAACGATTAAATAGAATGCTATATCCTCTATGACCTTGTTTTAAACCGATTACAACTTAATGAATATTCATATTCAGAATATTGTGATACCTTGTTAAGTTGATTATCACAAAGCCAGCGAGCTGTTTCAATATATCAATGCAAGATACTCTCTTTATAATCCAGAACCATTTTGAGATGAATATATGATGTGCAAATCAAGGTCAACCACGTCATTCTTCAGGTTCATATAACCAACATATCCACGGCAATGAAAGCATTTAACAGTATCAGGTAATCCTACCGCTATGTAGAAAGAAAAACTAACGAGAGGCACAATGGGCCTGCATCGATCACCTGGTATTAATCACACACTTGTCATTAATCACATTCCTTTGAACAAACATAGTACCCCTTTGTCCCTGTATGATACTGGTTAAATGTAATAATCCTAGGCCTTTTGGTTATTAAAAAAAAACACTTTTGAAGTTTTAATATATTTGAACTGTGACCTTGAATAAAGGTCAAGGTCATTCATTTGAATAACCTTTGTAGCCCTTCATCCCCACATGTTTCTGTCAAATGTCATCACCCTAGGCCTCATGGTTATTCAGAAGAAGTCATTATAAAAGGTTGTAAACTTGTTTTACCCCTGTGACCTTTTGAATATAAGTGAAGGTCGTTCATTCGAATAAAATTAGTAGCCCTTTCATCCCAGCATGTTACTGGCCAAATGTCATCATCCCGGGCCTTCTGGTTATTCAGAAGAAGTTTGTTTAAATTTTTTTAACATATTTGACCCCTGTGACCTCAAATATGGCCAAAGGTCACTCGTTTCAACACATTTGATAGCCCTTCATCCCAGCATGCTACTGGCCAAATATCATCACCTTAAGTTGTTTAAATTAAAAAGTTGGCTCTGGACGGACCACGGACCCTGCACCACGGCATAATCACACATATAAAGGAAGTTTACCCACTGTATCTAAAAATGAAATATAATATACTGAGATCGAATATAATCATTTCTTAGCATAACAGGAAATGCAGATCTTATCTAAAATAACATAATTAAGTATTGCGAGAAGTAATAAATTTCAATAAGCAAACCAAAGATATAACATATAAGCAAAGTAAAACATATTTATAAAATGTACATCATCAACAAGAAGAAACTACATCAAATCTAATGCACAAGTGTTCTATTTGATAATGGAAATTGTGAATATATTCATTATTATTAGGAAGCATGGGACAAGGGGAGAGGCACTAAAAATTGTGCACATTTTTCGAATTGTCACATGCATGGGGGCTGCTGTGGTCGAGTAGTTAAGGCGTCTGACCGTCTATGACCACTAGCCCTCCACAACTTTGTCACGAATCCGAGGGCAACGTGGGCCAGTCACCAGGTACTGGATGCAGGTGGGTGGTTTGCACTGGGCACTCCAGCAACAAAATTTGGCATGTTCTTAAATGACCATAGATGTAAATGGGGTGTAAAAAACTAACAAACCAAAACCAGTTCACATACATCTTCAGTATCATTCATAACAACAAAAGTCGGTTCTTTAGGGCCACTATATATAGCAAACTGTCTGCTGGAACCATTGCTCTATCGGTTACCTGTACTTTCAATCCAAGTTTCTCTTTGGAATTTCTATTCACATTTCTTAATATGCAGTGTACTTTTAAAAATGGAAGTTTGTAAATATTATGGAATTTATTTGGTTAAAGATTCTCTATAACCAAGAAAGTAAAAAACATCAGTAATTGCAACTGATTTTGCATTTATGTTCTGGTCCTGACAAAAAGACAGCATATGTATAGCAAAAAAATAACTCATGGTATCAATATGATAACCCCCATGTATGACAACATCTTGGACAAAAAAATCATGTAAAACATTAATAGACATATACATATACATTTCTCTATTTGGATACAAAGGATGCAAAGTTCAGTGTGCATTTTTCTACATGAACAGCATTCATTACTGTTTTTGAATAGTCCCATTTCCTACATATCAACATATCTTATCAAAACCCCTTCCAAAATCATCAATATTAACAGTACTGCAACCTAGTAGCTCTACATTAGGAATTTCAAGCAAGATGCCAAATGGACCTGAATCACTCACCTGGTTTTAATGTCATATTAGTAATTGTCTACTTGGCCCGAGGATGAAATATCAAGATCATTCATTTGAACAAATCCTTTATCCCCGTGGGCTACTGGCCACATATCATCACTCTTGGCCTGTTGGTTATTCAGAAAAAAAGTTGTTCACATGTTTTAACATATTTGACCCACGTGACCTTGGAAATTTGTCAAACTTGGTAGTACTTCATCCAAGCATGCCAATGGCAAAATATACCATCACCTTCTGCTATTTAGTTATTGAAGAGGAGTCGTTTAAAAAAATAGCTGACGCCAGACGGACGCTGGACGTTGCGCCAAAGTAAATGTAGCTCACTTTACCTTTCGGGCAAAGTGAGCTTAAAATCACATATCCTATTGCAGAGGAACTAAGTTTTCAGCTGTGAACAGACAGCGGTTAAAATTGACAGGTGTAATTGTAAGACATTTGGCATTGATTGGAGTTTGAAGGCATCTTATACAAACAACTACATTGCATTGTTTTTTAATGAATAACCTTCTTTTGTTGGGTTAGGTTTAAAAAAGTCTAAAAGGCCTATTTTCAGCCTGAGGTAGATTTCAATGTCACTTCCTTTTCACTGAACACACTGGTCGTTACAACATTATTATGGTACATACCACTTTTCAAAATCTCTTGTTCTTTACTTTAATGCGAGTAACCAGTCTGTATAGAGTTTCTGTTCATCAACAGATTGGTTTGCATTGGTTAACGGGGGTTCGTTTAGGTTTCCTTGATTACAGGGTATCCATAAGAACAAAAGTTCTCTTAGAAATGAACTCCTTACTAGGTATCAAGGTTTGTAAACTTGTCTGATGTACAGACGAATCACAGCCAGTCGCTGGGAGGTATCACTCAGAAGTCAGTGTAAGTCCATTTAAGTCCGTGTTGCAGGAGTCGGCGAGTTGAAAAGTTCCATCCTGAATCCAGGGCGCATATAACTCCCTTGTGAATGTAGGCCATCTAAAACACAAACAAGAGCCTCAATACAGAACAAGCTTAATCTTTAAAAGGACAGGCTTAGTGGTCTTTAAAGCTCACCTGTGATTTTACTCTCAATTTCAAATCTGTCCAATACGGCGCATGTTCATTAAAAGGGTACAAAAAATATAAACTGAGACCTGGTAATAAAGAGTACCATAAAAACCTGTGTAATTTGTGCAGGTACGTTTTAAGTCTGAAAATACTGAAAAAAGCTTCTACTCATATACGTTCCCATGGACCTGTATGAGTATTTATTTGTTCATACCCAGCTATTGTATACATGGTTCTGATGTGGGGATCTCAACCTTTTCCATGTTTGAAATTCGGTCAATGATTACTAAATAAAAGTGATGTCAAAAAAACACTAAAATATATATTTTTAAGCATATTATAAGGGTTATTTTTTTATATATAACTATGATTTTATTATGAACTGTTTACAGAATGTCAGATTCCTGTGTTCCATGCTTTGGCCCCTGGAATAGATATCCAATCATGGTAATTTGAGTGTATGTGTCTTCACGCCAATTGTATACATGTTTATTGTTATAGGGTGATGATCTAAACCTTTCCAATTGTCATCCAGGGACACATCCAGGGACTCGACCAGGGACTCGACCAGGGACTCACCCAGGGACTCATCCAGGGACTCATCCAGGGACTCATCCAGGGACTCACCCAGGGACACATCCAGGGACTCACCCAGGGACTCGACCAGGGACTCGACCAGGGACTCATCCAGGGACTCATCCAGGGACTCACCCAGGGGCTCACCCAGGGACTCATCCAGAGACTCATCCAGGGACTCATCCAGGGACTCAACCAGGGACTCATCCAGGGACACATCCAGGGACCCATCCAGGGACTCATCCAGAGACTCATCCAGGGGCTCACCCATGGACTCATCCAGGGACTCACCAAGGGACTCACCCAGGGACTCACCCAGGGACTCACCAAGGGACTCATCCAGAGACTCATCCAGAGACTCATCCAGGGACTCACCCAGGGACTCATCCATGGACTCACCCAGGGACTCATCAAGAGACTCATCCAGGGACTCACCCAGGGACTCACCCATGGACTCATCCAGGGACTCATCCAGGGACTCATCCAGAGACTCATCCAGGGACTCACCCAGGGACTCATCCAGGGACTCATCCAGGGACTCATCCAGGGACTCATCCAGAGACTCATCCAGGGACTCATCCAGGGGCTCACCCAGAGACTCATCCAGGGGCTCACCCATGGACTCATCCAGGGACTCACCAAGGGACTCATCCAGAGACTCATCCAGGGACTCACCCAGGGACTCACCCAGGGACTCACCAAGGGACTCATCCAGAGACTCATCCAGAGACTCATCCAGGGACTCACCCAGGGACTCATCCAGGGACTCATCCAGGGACTCATCCAGAGACTCATCCAGGGACTCATCCAGGGGCTCACCCAGAGACTCATCCAGGGGCTCACCCATGGACTCATCCAGGGACTCACCAAGGGACTCATCCAGAGACTCATCCAGGGACTCACCCAGGGACTCATCCAGGGACTCACCAAGGGACTCATCCAGGGACTCATCCAGAGACTCATCCAGGGACTCATCCAGGGACTCACCCAGGGACTCATCCAGGGGCTCACCCAGGGACTCATCCAGGGATGGGGCTGGACCCAAGAGTCAATCGTTCTAGAAATTCATTGTAAATGTCACTTTCTTATCAGCAATTATATATCGCTGTAGGTTGGTAATTTTGATCATTTTCGTCTTCATCTTGAGAATTATCCTCCAGGTACCTACTGGCCAAATATCAGGACAATGGGTCTTGGTTTTCAAGAAGTTGTGCCAAAAACATTGAGGGACAGACGACGAATACTGCGTGATACTATGATAATAAGCTCACAGGCCCTTCGTGTCTGATGACCTGGTATACCATTATACGATACTGGAAGGAATAGCTTGCATGTATTTAGTCGATGTTAATTACGATGCTACCAATTTTAGAACTAAGCTGTTCTCTATTCTCCACCATTATATGCACAGTGTCCAATACACCTTGTTATACACAGATGAGCTGTAAAGTTTTACAAAACAAACACATTTGAACTTGGATGTTAAAACTCGCGCTTTGAGTTGCTGTTTAGAAACATTATTCAGCTCCCATTCTTGGGGAAAAAGGAACAAATATTTCAGTTTGGTCAAAATATATTGGGGAAAAGTTTTGCAAAGTATTTATACAAAATCTGCCAATAAATATGTCGGAAGCTACTATTCTGCATATTTGTATCATAATTGATTAATAAAATGCTACAAAATATATAGGGTACTACATGTATACCGTTGTGAAAAGTGGGTCATAAAATTATACAGCTACTATTGGTGATATTGATCAGAAATTAAATCTTCAATTACCTCTGATGTAGATCGTAGGGGGTCCAAACTGTTCATAGCTTTGTCGATAACTTCAGCTGCTTGAACTCAAATCCAACTTTGTGTGTCACTGATCCGATATACTAAGACACATTTTCTCACAGGTTGATAAGTTAATGAAAGTGTATTTCAAGTAAGCATCACATACTAGTGATATAGGGTAGACGGGAAACCTTTATTTCCTCTGTTGTCATCGAAGGGATTCCATTTCTATCAAAGCCTCGTCGATAACTTTAGCTGCTTGACCTCTGCCAATGTCTATGAACGCTGCTCGCAGTACAGTGTATTCACCATAACCAATGTCATGCCGATCCATCAGACACTGGCAAATTTTAAATATACTGTTTTCTTTTTCACCATACACTTTGTCGTATCCCAGATGCATTGTCATTTGGTTTTGAAAGTTCTCCCATTTACCACCAGGTCCTGGATATATCCATGAAGATAGTGATTGCACCATGTCGACATGAATTTTCTTCACCTTGGCTATGTCACTGAACCTCTGTGCGGTAAGTACCTGTACAGGAAAAGATTGAAAAAGCAAATATGAAGCTTGACCATTTATGTCTTTAATGATTTTAGACCGACAGTTTCTCACACAATTAATTTTGGGAACTGATTTTGTTCCCTTTTGTTTTTCGAGGAAATTACTTCAGGTAAAATTTTTTAGTAACTTTACCTTGTCAGTGTCTCTAAACCATACCAAGCAATCGTCCTTTGTCAGTTTTGTCCTGATGTCGCCCGTTTCATTGGAAACTTCAAAATGACCGTGATGCATCAATGAGTCCTTGTCAGCCTTCTTGATGTCCAGCTCGTTGTCAGAAACCCAATAGTCATTATGAAGAAAGTGACTGTACTTTCGATGTTTCTGGTTGTTCATTGACAGAATATTGTTAATAATATCTTCAATAGAAAGCCGAAGGCCTTGTCCAATTCCTTGTTGCACATCATGCGATACATCATTGAACATGGTTAGTTTGAGAGTTGCTCCTTTGCAATGGAGAACAAAGTCCCAAATTTTATTTAACTTTCCACAGACTAAACCCCTCTGTGGTTCAAATGTGGTTCTTTTGGATCCAGCTTGGTAAAAGCAAGGGCTAAACTTACCGATACATGCCGAGATGGTTTTGTCCCAAATAGCCTGTGGAACAAATGGGTTTTCAAATACTATGCACAAAGTTCTAGAAGATCTGATATATTCAGGATCTAATACAGACTTAATGCTGTCATGTTTCGCCTCTTCCAATAGACAAGGTACGATATATGGTTCTGGAACAGTTTGTGAATATTGAGGATCTGCCAGCTTTTGTTCTGTAATAAGACCTAGATGTTCCATAACAGAGCTCAATACCCGGCGTTCATCAGGGTTGCAGAAATCAGCCCAGCAGAGCTTTAGCAACTCAACTGTAAGTTTCCCTATTTTTCTAAAAGATTTCCATTTCTGTAGCGTAACACCCCTTTTCTTTACAAATTTTTCATCTGTAATGATCAAAGCAAATGCTTTCACTATCCAGTTTGGGTCTAATATGGCATTTATCTGTTTATCCTCTTCATTGAGACGTTCAGAATCCTCTTTTCCCATAATTTCAAAGCAGAATATACTTGCAGCATGATGCATATATCTGAAATATATTGATCACATAATTACAATACATTAATCCTTTCGATCAGAATGATCACTACAAAGTTTGTTTAATAATTTGATACCTCATGTAGAAATTCAAATAACAAAGAAAGAAAATGACAATCAAGTTAAGGATATTTCAATTACACACAGTTCATAAACCAGAGGCTCAGAGATCCTGTATCGCTCATCTGGATATTTGAGCAATCATGGGAGAATATTCTCAACAAAAGTACTTTTGCAAATATTTCAATATAGTGAGTCCCCTTGGCTTAGGAATGTTCCAGACTAAATCAAACTGTTATGCTTCTCTATCCCAGCATGCTACTGGTCAAATACAATCACAGAGGGCTTTCTGGTATTGCGAAAGAAGTATTCACATATTTGACCCCTGTGATCTTGAAAGTAGGTCAAGGTAATTTATTTGGAGAAAGGTTTTAGTACTCTTTCTCACGTACCTACAAGACAAGTATCATTACGATGGGCCCTTTGGTTATTTAGAAGATGTTGTTCAAAGATTTTTACAATTTTAAACCATGTGACCTTGGAAGTAGGTCAAAGACATTTATTTTAGGAAACTTGTAACTACTGGCAAAATATCATTGCTTTAGGCCTCTTGGTTATTCTGGGGAAGTTGTTAAAAGTTTTTTTTACATATTTGACCCCTGTGACCTTGAAAGTAGGTCAAGGTCATTTATTTTAGAAAACTTTATAGCACTTTGTCCCAGATACCTACTGGCCAAATATCATGGCCCTAGGTCCTCCAGTTCTTAAGAAGAAGTCATTCAAAGAAAAAGTTGACGGACGACAGACAACACACCAGGTGAGCTAATAAAAGGTCTTCAGTTTATATACACGAAAGAAACTGGAAGAGACATTTTCAACTCCTTACAAGGAAACTCTCATACGGTGCAAATCTACCCTGAACTGTTAAAATTCAACTGTTGACTGTTAAAACATTATATTCATAGAGTGTTAATGTTGCCCTTCACAAGAGAAATAGAACCATATTTAAACTCTTGCTACATTTCGGGGAGACATCCTGATTTTTGCCTCGTTTCTGACTTTTTACATAATTCCTTACATCCAGCATTTTGTTCATATTAAGGATCCTTGTCCCACTACAATGTGGTTTTCTGTATACACAGTAAGCTCCCCTTAATTTTGTTTTGGATATAACTGTAGCACAGTTGGGCAGGACACATCAAATAAGTAGGTGGTGTAGACGGTTAGAGAAATAGTATAACAACTCATGTGGAATCCAAGGTTCGAACCCCTGTCTAGCCCCTTCTATTTTTAACACTCAGAACATTCGTAAAAATTGCTCAAGATATGGCTTTCTTTTCAGATTCTGTTTATCAAAGCCATAGTCATGCAAGACATATCAGGTTCCAATGCGTAACAGGTTCTGGCAGTGGTAGGGGGTCCTTATCTAATTCATGGGATAGCTTAAATTTCATGCTTGTTAAAGTTGTCATTTTTCTTCAGAAAATGTTTGAATATATATGTTAAGAAAGGTGAAAAAGACCTATGAACTCTTGGTTACATTTCCTTGCATTAATATTCTTATCATATGAAGCCATCAATATCCTTAATTATTGTCAATTACTTTTCGTACCGAAGGAAAGGGACCAGTTCATCTTCACCAAGCTGTACCAATAGCTGTTTGTTTAGGTTAATTATTTCCTCAAGCTTCATGAACTTTTTTCCCTGTTCCTTATTCAGCATGATCTTTTCTTCCAATGCTAGCCAAGATCCCGGAATTTCATCATGCCAGCAAGCTTGTCCATCAACAGACTCCTCTATCAGGCTCCATAATTCTTCATATTTATCTTTGTTCTTGTCACTGTTGTTCAGTTCTCTAATGAAGATACACTCCACTACGTGATCATCTCTGATGTCTTTGATGACCTGATACTTGTCAAGTTTTTCATATATTTTGTCCAATATATTTTCTTCGTCCTACAAGAAAAAAGAAATTCATCGTATAAAAACCAAGAGGCCAAGGGTCTTTAATAGCTCACCTGGTATTTTATAGGAGTCATGTGTTAGGGGGTATTGGGCAGCACATCCTCTGTAAGATGCTCTAAAACAAATTTGGTTAAAATCCCTTTCTTGTTACGGAAGGTGAAGGTTTTAGAAGATGTATCCCTATTTCTCCTTACTTGGCGCCATTCCATTTTCTCCCGTGGAGGCCACATTCTACTTGATGTAAAATTGAATCCTCCTTTTTCTAAAGATGCTCCAGACCAAATTTTGTTTGAATTTACCTATTTTTCCCTATTGGACCCGCCCTCTGTTCTCTGTTTGGGTCACATCCTACGTTTATATAATCCCATTTGCCCAAAAATGCTCTCAAACAAGTAAAAAATTCTTTATTGGTATGAAAGGAGAAGGTTAATATTTACATTTGATTTAATACCGAGGGGGCCGCATCCTCTATTTTATACAAAATTGAGAACTCGTTGGTTAAAGATGTCTACAGACCAATTATGGTCAAATTCAACTGAGTCGTTCAGGAAGTGAAGTATTTTAAATGAAAAAGTGGATGGACGGACGCTGCTCTGTTCCATGGCATAAGCTCAACAGTATTTTTGGACCAGTTAAGCTAATTAACAATCAGATGACTTATTGTTTGTGACTGACATTCAGTCTAGTCTTTCTAAAGAGTAAAGTTGTTCATAACATGATCATAATGCTATTTGTTAATACTTAAGGCTATATACACATTTAAAGGTAGAGTCTCAGCACTTCATGTTTTATCTCCAGTGAAGGAGAGTTCCATCTTCTGTTTGCCATTTTCTGGCTTGGAGTTGCATGCACATTAACTACATCACAGATGTATCGAAGAAAGGACAGATAATTGACGATTGTGTGGAAAAATGGGTCATTAGCCTATTACTGCTTTATATATTTACTGTTGTCTTAGTGTATTCCCCTAATACCATTCTATAAGTAACCTAACGGGTACGGTAGGGCTATTCGTTCGGCGTATGCTTCCCGTCGAGTAGCAGCTATCGCCGGTGCAGTCTGTTTGTTTACATGGGTGTAAGCTTTCGAGATGACCGGATTTTTGGTGAGTCGCCGGAAGACGTTCCGACCTCACTACGCATATGCCGTAGATTTGGCCAATCAGAATGGGTGTGCGGATACAGGTTACATAGGACCAGGAGGCTGGGGTATAAAAGGGGATGCACGGGTCAATTCGGGGACTTGCGTGGCCGGAAATCCGGCTATATCAGGAGAGGAAAACCTCTCCACCCAGGCGCTGAAACCAGTGCTACCACCCAGGCGCTGAAAACAGTGCTACCACGTTAGGGAACGTTAAGGCTGGTTAGTTAACGTATATCGGTGTTCTGGGAGGGGTTGGTTTTCAACGACATAATTACTTATATGCCTTATTTTACCCTGTGGGGGCTGATATATATAGCTGTATGTAGTTTTACTAAACATACGTTCTTTTCTACACACTGTTGGTTTTGTTCCAGTGCTACCACGTTAGGGAACGTTAGGACTGGCTAGTTGAACCAGAGATGTAGAATTGAACGTGTATGTGTTTCGGGAGGGGTTGGTTTTTACCGTCGTTATTACCTATAGGCCTTATTTTACCTCGTGGGGGCTGATATCTATAGGTTTACTTAATTAACACACATTCTTTCCTACACACTGTAGTTTTGTTCTGTCTTGTATTATATGCTACTGTTATTAATGTATGTATCACCTTAGCCGTGTGATATATGCAATAAACGTTAGTTAACTTTGAAACAAGGTGTTGATTGATTTATAACTCGGATACTCCTCCACATCTGACGGACCTTTGGCAGACTGTACAGACGGACGCAAAAGGTACGTTCTTGGGTATTGCCGCCGGCCAGCTTGTCGGTAGATTTGGGGAAAACATTAATAATTATACGATCACTTTCATCTACCGACGCTGGACAGGCTCTCCCCACGGACGTCCTATTACAATTGTCATGATTTTGTCTGGAATACACAAGGCATTCTTGTCCGTTAAAAATCTTCAATTTTTACATACACCTTTGTTTTCTTATTGAATTGTTTTGATACAATTACTGAATCGTTAGCCGCCGCTTTGATATAACAATTTGGGTAAAATGTAATAAGAGGATAAGAATGTCTGTATCTCTCACCTGTATGTATTGATATAAGGTGGGGATCTAAACCGTTTCCAAGTTGTAATACAGGGAGTAAGTCCTAAAGTATTTAGGTAAATAAAAGATCAGTGAGCATTTTACTTGTGAGAGAAAACTTTCGATTTTGTTCTGTTTCACAAAAATTCTTAAGAGAATCTTAAGTGAAAAATTTATCGTAACTTTACACTAGTCTGATCCCTCTCTTAAGTGTAAAATTTTATCGTAAGTTTAAATATATATGATGATTTTAATCCTAAATTTAAATAAACATGGCTGCTACATTTGGTTTGAAAATGAATTTTCGATGCATCATTAACAGGTTTTTCAAGGCAGATATAACCACCGCACCTAAGCCACGCCCTATTTCTAACAAAATCAATACAGATGTTCTGCAAGGGGCCGTGTTAGTTTTATTGACATCATTAAACGACAAATGTAATTGCATTGAATAATAGACGAGTAGTAAGTATGCTTGGTTTGACTGTCCTTGATTTATAACTTATTATATTAATCCGATTAGTGTTTATTGCGAAAATTACACAAAAACTATTCCTCAATCAGGAAATCTCAGTATCATATACGTATACACATAGTATATAGTCTAACGTAAGTACAGGCAAATTTGTTACATAAGTAAGGGTTTCAGTTAATAATTCGTCCAAATAAACATTGTTGTATACACACCTGAATGACGTCACACAGCAACTTTGTGACGTCATCACGCCTACCGTGTTTTTTTTTATCAGAGGTGCATGAGGCAATAGCCACCTTCAAGCATTTCACTAATTTTCAAGTAATGTTAATGTTTATATGTATACTGAACAAAAAAAGAAACGCACAAAGTTTTGATTTCGCCATTGAAACTCAGAGGGGTAGAGCAATTGCGATGTTGATGGATGGCCATAGCCAAACTGCTGTCGCACGGCAGTTTGGTGTTGGCCCGTGTACAATTAACCGTCTCTGAACACGTTTTCGTGCTACTGGGTTAGTTTCCGATCGTCCCAGGAGCGGTCGTCCGCGTGTAACGACCGCACGAAAAGACAGGGCGATTCTATTGTCGCACTTGCACAACAGATTCAAGACTGCTGTAGAGACTGCGTCGCATACCTTAGGTACTCATGGCAGACCCATTAGTCCTCAAACTGCCAGGAACCGGTTGCGTTCCGAGAGAATCATTGCGCGCCGACCTTATGTCGGGCCACCTCTGACACCTCGGAGGCGACAAGTGCGTCTTGACTGGATGCGCAGACATGGCCCGAATAGGTTTGGGATGCATCGATGGAGGCGTGTGATGTTCACCGACGAGTCTAGATTCTGTCTGTATCACTCATACGGAAGAAAAAGGGTATATCGCAGACGCGGTGAGCGTTTCGCCGACGCATGCGTGGTTGAACGCGATAGATTCGGTGGGGCTTCTGCAATGGTTTGGGGAGGCATCTCCCATGGAGTAAAATCCCCCTTACTGGTCCTGGATCAAAACCTCAATGCCGTTCGATACAGAGACCAGATCCTCCAACCACATGTCCTTCCACTTCTCAGACGTCATAACCTAATTTTCCAGCAAGACAATGCTCGACCGCATGTTGCCAGAGTCCGTCGTGATTTTCTCACGGCAAACAACGTTCAGCCTCTGGGATGGCCCCCATATAGCCCCAACATATCTCCCATTGAGCATCTGTGGGATGAGCTGGACAGGCGTATTAGGAAACGTCAACCCCCCAACCCCCCAACTAACCGCGCCCATTTGATCGCAGCATTAACACAAGAAAGGAACAACATTCCCTTAAGGCGAATAAATGTTCTCATGAATTCAATGCATAGGAGAATCTGTGCAGGGATTCGTGCAAAAGGTGCCCACACCAGGTACTGAAGTGTCATTTTGTTTTTCGCGGGTATCCCACTTTGAGTTGAGACACGAGTGACGTCACACAGACTTTTCTTCTACAGTATTGTAAAGAGTAGACTTGTCCCTTCATAGTGATATAAAATTTTGTACAAATTTCCCAAAATATCATAGGCTATTGATTGCATAATTTAATTGTGCGTTTCTTTTTTTGTTCAGTGTATTTTTTTGTATTCTGGTGTTACACAAGTTGTACTGATATATGTAAGGGCAAATACATGGCTTTCCTTGAGTTGTGATACTTAAAGTTATTTTCAGTAAAGGAAGTGATTAATGCTGTTTAGGTTAGATAGATGGGGTCGGTTGAGGAGGTCAATGTACACCTACATGCATCTCAATTGAGACTATAGTCCTTCACAAATCCAAACTTCCAAATCGGTGCCCAAAATTATTATTTGTATCGGGACCTGAGTTTTCAATGGCCAACTCACCACCCGACTTTTGAATAATTTGCCACATGTACATCTCCGATCGTCTTTCACATCAACAGAGACTGTCCCAGGTGTTGTAAAAATACTTACTTTTCATATAAACATTGCAAAACTGAAAATGAGTTTTTTCTGAGCGTAAACAAGCATTGGGTCACCAGTACATTGAAAACGATTTACTTGCATTTATGGCACGGTCGACCATGGAACTGCCATTAGTGTTAAGATATAGTATTTTCAATTTGTATATAGTAGCACCAACACAGATTACAAAGTACGATTTACTATGACATACATGTACACTTTATTTCACACTTCCAAAAGCGCATGTGTATTACTCGCATATAGAGAACATTCATTTTTGTTGTACCTATGTACCAATATGTCCTGTTATCTACAGTATGTGAAATCCTGACAACCCTCAATCCGAGCGATTCACAAGCAGAATGTAATTACCATAATAGACTTAAAGAGTTTATCAAATTGCATTTATGTGACATTTGTAATCTTGAAATCTGGTAAATATCATTTATTTGAATCAGTTTAAAAGCCCGTCATCCCATGAAGATACCAGTCAAATATTACCTTATTTGACCAATAAATAGGTAAAGTCATTTATCAAGATTTTATTTGACATTATGACCTTAACTCATTCATCCCTGAAATTTCTTACCTTTGAATTGGAAGGGTTCAAGTGTGTCTTCAGGGGTTAATGAGTTAAAAAGCTAAAGGCCAGGTTTTAATTCTGTACATTTAAAGAAAATTTGATGTTTGAAGGAGGATAGACTCATTGCAATGTTTCAGGTTGTATGCATTTTGTTGTAAAACAGAACAGGCAACAGTTATTCCAGTGCTTGAATTATATACTCACTGTTGTAACTTTGTCCATATGAGACCCGACCAAGATAACTGGTGGTACGCCTTTTTTTTTGGCAGATTCATCCTTTGCGTATGTGGCAACTGAATTGAGCCAGTGTACTATTTCATCTGTGAAATGATAATAAAGGAAAACAAATCAAAAGGAAAATAAACAAACACACTCTGACAGCAATCTTAATTATATAGTGTAGTACTAGACATAGCTAGGCTTACTATCTGTATCGAACACACCGCGTTAAGATTAGAGTAGCTTCCCCTTGCCGGAAGGATTGTGTAGTGACAGTGGTGGGACCATGGGAGGTGTGCATGGACGACGTGCAGTGTTGTGCAGTGTTGAATACAATATAAAGACAGTGTAAATGCTCATTGGCGTCTCTCCATCTATTACAAAGTGGTTCCAATCATAACCAGCATTAGCATATCACATCACTGAACAAAATGTCATCATGCATAATAATGGTTATTATAATTGGCAAAAGTGACGGATAAACTGAAGAAACAATAGGCCCAACTGGCCTTAACGCTCACATGAATTACGTCGATTTAAAGTCGATAACTGCAACTGTTTTTGACAAGCAGTGAAACTTTCTGAACGGCTACGATTGGTTTTGTGATTTGCACGAAAAGTAAGAACACTTCTTTGGCAGTCATATGTCAGATATTCACAAATTGTGTTTTTTTAGTAATAAATACCACAGCGCTGCTTTACAAAATTTACAATCTGTTCTAGTTTCTAAACTAATGGATAATTGTCTATAAAATGTATAGCACAAACGTGATATGCAAAATACCAATTAAATATAGCATGAATAATTAGACAAGACTGATGGTAACCTGAGATGTAAAACAATTGTTATTTGTTGTGATGTAATTAATAATACAACAAGAGGCCCAGAGGGCCTGTATCACTCACCTGAATATGTTTAAAATAATTGGTATGAAGTAAAGATATAGCACTCCATGGTAGGTGCTGTAAGTACATATGAAATTTCAGAAAGATCCATCCAGTATTTGAGATAAAGCGAGAACAAACTTCAAACAGAGCCCCACCCCTATGCCCCTAGGGGGGGTCATACCCATCAATTATACAAAATTGAGACCCCTTGGCCCAAGTGTGACCGATATCGGTCTGGGGAATTAGTACTCAAGTCTGTTGCCAGTTCATTTCTTTATTGTTGCCAACTTCCAGTTCCTACTTCTGTATACCATTGCTAGCACCTTCTATCTTAGCTCACTTTCAATCCTGATCTAATCTGGCTCTCTTTCCATCTTCCAACTCTGACTCTGTTCTGCCTCTCTGTACCTCATTCTGCTTTCTCTCACTTATACTAAAAACTAAGAAGTGTCTAATATGCAAATTAGTTAACTAACATTTCTATTGGTCAACTGTAGATGGACAGCCATCAGGTGGTCAAAAGAGGTTCCCAGGGCTCCAGCCTGTACCTCCAATTATCACTAATTGACCAGATCTCCGTTCCTCTTTAGATGACCGACCAGTTAGCTTCCTGTCCTTTCATCAACCACACCACCATTCATATTTTGTTTCACAATAACTCCTTGTTCTCAACACTCTGTCTTCAGTTCTTTCACTTTCATCTGACATCTATTTAATTCTGTTCTCACGATTTCCATTTCTAATTACATAACACACTGTCTTCAAATCTTCCTATTTCACACTGTCATATTGGATGCTCCAGACTAAATAAAGATAAAAATCCCTTAATCCTGATGGTCGAAGAAGGATTTTAAAGGTTTCACCTCTATTTCTCCTATTGGGCCCCGCCCTTCTGTCCCCTGGGAGACCACACCCCCTGCTTATACAAAATTGAGTCCCCTTGGCCCAAGGATGCTCGTGACTAAATTAGGATAAAATCACTTAATCGCTATGGTAGAAGAAGAATTTTAAAGGTTTTACCTCTATTTCCCCTATTGGGCCCCACCTCTTTGCCTCCAGAGGGGCTAGACACACCGTTTATACAAAATTGGTTACCCTTCACCAAAGGATGTTTCATACCAAATTTGGACAAAATCCTGTCATTTGTACAGAAGAAGGTATTTGAAGAATTTGTTATGTTTCCCCTATTGGGCCCCTCCCTTCTGCCCCCAAGGGGCCACCCTCAATGTTTTTACGAAATTGAGTACCTTTTGCCCAGGGATGCTCCAGACTAAATTAGGATATTTCCCCTATTTGGCCCCGCCCTTCAGGTCCCAAGGGGGGCACACCCACTGTTTATACAAAATTCGTTCCCCTTTACCCATGGATGCTCCACACTAAATATGGACCAAATCCTTTCATTCCTACAGGAGAAGAAGGATTTTAAAGAATAATTTGCTTTGTTTCCCCTATTGGGCCCCGCCTCTCAGGCCCCTGGGGGGCCACACCAACTGTTCATACAAAATTGGTTCCCCTTCACCCAAGGATGCTGCAGACCAAATATGGAACAAATCCTTTCATTCCTACAGATGAAGAAGGATTTTAAAGAATTTGCTATATTTCCCCTATTGGGCTCCGCTCCTCAGCCCCCAAGGGGGTCAGACCCACGGTTTATACAAAGTTGGTTCCCCTTCACCAAAGAATGCTTCTGACCAAATATGGAACAAATCCTTTCATTGCTATACTGAAGGAGAAGGATTTTTAAGGATTTGCTATATTTCCCCTATTGGGCCCCGCCCCTCAGCCCCCAGGGGGGCCATACCCACGGATAATACGAAATTGAGTCTCTTTTGTCCTGGGATGCTCCAGACTAAATTAGGATAAAATCCCTTAATCCCCATGGTAGAAGGATTATAAAGGTTTTACCTCTATTTCCCCTATTGGGCCCCGCCCCTCAGGTCCCAGGCGGGCCACACCCACTGTTTATACAAAATTGGATTCCCTTTACCCACGGATGCTCCACACTAAATATAGACCAAATCCTTTCATACCTACAGAAGAGGGATTTTAAAGAATAATTTCCTATGTTTCCCATATTGGGCCCAGCCCCTCAGCTCCTAGGGGGGCCAGACCTACGGTTTATACAAAATTGGTTCCCCTTAACCCAAGGATGCTTCTGACCAAATATGGAACAAATCCTTTCATTCCTACAGAAGGAGAAGGATTTTAAAGAATTTGCTATATTTCCCCTATTGGGCCCCGCCCCTCCGACCCCAGACCCACGGTTTATACAAAATTGAGTCCCCTTGGCCCAAGGATGCTCCAGACTAAATTAGGATAAAATCCCTTAATCCCTACGGTAGAAGAAGGATTTTATAGGTTTTACCTCTATTTTCACTATTGGGCCCCGCCCCTCTGACCCCAGGGGGGCCACACCCACCTTTTATACAAAATTGAGTCCCCTTGGCCTAATGATGCTCTAGACCAAATTTATTCAAAATGCACTTGGCCGTTCACGACAAGTAGCTTTTTAAAGAAAAAGTTGACGGACGGACGGACGCCGGATGGACGGACGACGGACGCTGCGGTATGGCATAAGCTCACCATAAGCTAAAAACACGTTAGGACCTTCCTTTCAATCCATTAAGAGGATTTGATTTTAACATTTTGGGACCACCCGTAAAACCCCTCGATGGACGACGGACGGACCACGTAGGAAGGGTGATTTGAATAGACCACCATCAGTTGACACCATAAATATAGTGCACAGGTACTTTTTTGAGTGAAAAAAATAATTAAAACAAGAGGCCCAGAGGGCCTGTATCGCTCACCTGAATATAATTAAAGTAATTGGTATGAAGTAAAGATAAAGCACTCCATGGTAGGTGCTGTAATACATATGAAATTTCAGAAAGATCCATCCAGTACTTGAGATATAGAGAACAAACTTCAAACAGAGCCCCACCCCTATGCCCCTACGGGGGTCATACCCACCAATTATACAAAATTGAGTCACCGTCACCCAAGGATTCTCCACACTAAATAAGGATAAAATCCCTTAATCCCGATGGTCGGAAAAGGATTTTAAAGGTTCTACCTCTATTTCTCCTATTGAGCCCCACCTTCTGCCCCCCCTCGGAGACTACAGCTACTGCTAATACAATATTGAGTCCCCTTGGCCCAAGGATGCTCCAGACTAAATTAGGATAAAATCCCTTAATCCCGATGGTCGGAAAAGGATTTTAAAGGTTCTACATCTATTTCTCCTATTGAGCCCCCCCTTCTGCCCCCCCTCGGAGACTACAGCTACTGCTAATACAATATTGTGTCCCCTTGGCCCAAGGATGCTCCAGACTAAATTAGGCTATTTCCCCTATTTGGCCCCACCCCGCAGGTCCTAGGGGGGCCATACCCGCCGTTTATACAAAATTGGTTCCCCTTCACCCAAGAATGCTTCAGACCAAATATGGACAAAATCCTGTCATTCCTACCGAAGAAGAAGGATTTTGAAGATTTATGTCTATTTCCCCTATTTGGCCCCACCCCTCAGGTCCTAGGGGGGCCATACCCACCGTTTATACAAAATTGGTTCCCCTTTACCCAAAGATGTTCCACACCAAATATGGACCAAATCCTTTCATTTCTACAGAAGGAGAAGGATTTTAAAGAATAATTTGCTATGTTTCCCCTATTGGGCTCCGCCCATCAGGCCCCTGGGGAGCCAGACCCTTGATTTATACAAAATTGGATCCCCTTCACCCAAGGATGCTCCACACCAAATATGGACCAAATCCTTTCATTCCTACAGAAGAAGAAGGATTTTAAAGAATAATTTGCTATGTTTCCCCTATTTGGCCCCACCGCTCAGGCACCTGGGGGGCCAGATCCACGGGGAATACAAAATTGGTTCCCCTTCACCAAAGAATGCTTCAGACCAAATATGGAACAAATACTTTCATTCCTTCAGAAGGATTTTAAAGAATTTGCTATATTTCCCCTATTGGGCCCTGCCCCTCAGCCCCCAGTGGGGCCAGAAAATACCATTTATACAAAATGTTTCCCTTCCCTCAAGGATGCTTCTGACCAAATATGGACCAAATCCTTTCATTCCTACAGAAGAAGAAGGAATTTTAAAGAATAATTTGCTGTTTCCCCTATTGGGCCCCACCCCTCAGGCCCCTGGTGAGCCAGACCCATGGTTTATACAAAATTGGTTCCACACTACCCAAGGATGCTCCACACCAAATATGGACCAAATCCTTTCATTCCTTCAGAAGAAGAAGGATTTTAAAGAATAATTTGCTATGTTTCCGCTATTGGGCCCCGCCCCTCAGGCACCTGGGGGGCCAGATCCACGGTTTATACAAAATTGGTTCCGTTTCGCCCAAGGATGCTTCAGATCAAATTTTGTTAAAATCCGCTCAGTGGTTCATGACTAGTAGTGTAAAGTTGACGGACGACGGACGCTGCGGTATGGCATAAGCTCACCTTGGTCCTTCGGACCAGGTGAGCTAAAAATGAAAACTAGAAAATGTCTGTAACCAATAAATGCCCCCGCTGCAATGTGAAATTAGTTTCAGTGTTCTATAAAAAGTCACAACCACTTTGATCTTGATACCTGAAACATGCACACACACACAAGGTACTACACTTAAAGTTGATAAGTTGATTTTAATATTCATATGTTTTTTCTGTATGATGTAGGAGGTATACCCATATTTGACCTTTGTATAAAGTTTGACCAAAATCTGTGAAAGAAGGAAGTTGCTAAGTGTTTAAATTGAGTCAGTTGATGAATTTCTATATATAGCAAGTGTGACCTTGGCCTTGACCTTGGAACCCTGAAACACAAGGATGTCAGAGGTATACCCATATTTGACCTTTGTATAAAGTTTAACCAAAATCCATGAAAGAATGAAGTTGCTAAGTGTTTAAATTGAATCAGTTGATGATTTTCTATAAATAGCAAGTGAGACCTTGGCCTTGACCTTGGATCCCTGAAACACAACGATGTCCGAGGTATACTCATACTTGACCTTTGTATAAAGTTTGACCAATGTCTGTCAAAGAATGAAGTTGCTAAGTGTTTACATTGAATCGGGACGGGATGCGACGGGACGGATGTTTAAATTGAATCGAGACGCGACAGGACGGACATGGGCAACACTATATGCCCCTCCATTTTATGGCAGGGGCATAAATAAAGTTTCTTGAAAAAATGTCAAGCTTGACTGAAAGCACCAACCAGGTAGGTACCAATTGAAGGGGGGCCACACCCACCTTTTATACAAAATTGAGTCCCCTTGGCCAAAGGATGCTCCAGACTAAATAAGGATAAAATCCCTTTATCCCGACGCTAGAAGAAGGATTTAAAGTTTTTTTTACCTTTTTTCCCATAGTGGGCCCCAATCCTCTCTTCCCAGGGGGCCACACTTACCATTTATAAAACACGAGGCCCAGAGAACCTGTATCGCTCACCTGAATATTCAGTCATAGCAAAATATTCTCATTAAATATCATATTGCACTACACATATTTCTCTCGCAAACTTTGTCGGCTCCATCTGTTGAAACAACCAGCCAAATTCTTTTTTCCCTATCGGGCCCCGCCCCTCTGCCCTAAGGAGGGCCACACTCACCATTTATACAAAATGGAGTCCCCTTGGCCCAAGGATGCTCCAGACTAAATTAGAATATAATCCCTTAATCCCTTCAGTAGAAGAAGGATTTTAAAGCTTTTACCTCTATTTCCCCTATTTGGCCCAGACCCTCTGACCCCAGGAGGGCCTCACCTACTGCTTATACAAAATTGAGTCCCCTTGGCTAAAGGATGCTCCAGACCAAATTTAGTCAAAATCTACTTGGCCGTTCAGGACTAGTAGCGTTTGAAAGGAAAAGTTGACGGACGGACGGACGATGGACGACAGACAACGGACGCTACTGTATGGCATAAGAACCAGGTGAGCTAAAAATCAGTGCTCTTGGCCTCAGGATGTTCCAGACTAAATTGGGATGAAATCCCTTAATCCCTATGGTAGAAAAAGGATTTTAAAGTTTTTTCTCTATTTCCCCTATTCAGCCACACCCACCATTTATACAAAATTGATTTCCCTTCGGTCAGGTGAGCTAATAAAAAATAAATTAAAGGAACCAAGGACAAAACACAAAAGAGGTTGTACTATATTTTTCTGGAAAATGAAATATACATGTGTAAAAGTGTTGAAAAGGGAAACATTATATTTTAAACACAACTAAATGAAATGATAATTAAAATTCACAGAGTGTTAGGAAGATCTGCCAAAAACTGTCAACTGTCAAAATCCAAGATGGCCGTCTGTTGGCCATTTTTTTATTACTCTCAAAATTTAACATGGACAGTTATACCCTAGGGAAACATGCATATCATATTAGAGAAGTGTGCTCTCTGGCACATAGCGTAATGATGGGCTAATAATTATGATGAAGGGTACAACTGCATCAAGCGTGAGAAAAAGGTCCTTTCAGAGTGATTTTCAAGTATACACAGCAGTATATAAAAATATATAAACACTGATTAACTTAAAATGCTGATGTCTCTGTCTGCCATTTAAATGCCTCGTCCTGAGTAACTTAATGATTAAAATGAGTTTTTGATGCATTTTTTTTCAGTTAATTATAAATCTGAAAATGGCTTCAAAATGTTTAATGCTTACCAGTGATGCTTTCTTGCTTTTCTGGCTTTTCCCATTCGGAAACATCGAACACTAGCAGGTAAATGCTATTAGCCGACATAATACAGTGATGGGAGTTGTGGAATACTTTGTCCCCTCCGAAGTCAAATAGAGTCACATAGGCCATAGATGAGTCATCTAAACTATCCCCTTCCTTCATGATGTTATCTATATCTTCTTTTTGGTCTTTTGTAATTGCTTCTTCTGTTATTCTATATTGTGATTCTTCTGTCCTTTCCATTTCAGGATCATCTCTTTGTCCTAGAATAATCAAAAAGGAAATACACATTTCTGTATTATTTTAATGAATGTTGAAGTGTTGCTATGTGAATTTATAAGGCAATTAACACAAAGTTATTAAATAAATCAAAGCAAACAAAGTTTGCAAACATCATTTTTAACGGTAGATGCATACAAATTACATTCTCAGAGGCTAATATTTTGGCAGCAAAGTTATACGTTAAGCCTGATATAAATATCTTTACAAGATAAAATGGTTTCGAAACGATGCAATTTTAAATTGAACAAAGCATCACAAGTGATACAAATCCCCTCGCATTCACACATTGTGTGCCATATGTATGAGAAAATGAATAGAGAATTCAATGATGTAACAGTAACTGCTCTAGCTACTGCATCTGTTGAAGGTATTATCATGGCAAACACTTGTATCAAGTTTCATGAAATTCTGTTGAGGAATGCAGTCGATAGAGCGATAACAAAGATTTAAAAAACAAGAGGCCCAAGGGCCTTAGCGGTCACCTGAGTTATATCATAGGTACTGGTAGCTTTATTTTATTGTTTAGATGTGATGTGGAAATCAGCATGTAAACTAAGTGAAATACAATACTTGTCATGTCATCAAAGGATAAGAATTTGAAAATATTGGTAAATGTTCCCTTTGGGGCCCCGCCCTAGCCCCTGGGGAGGGGCAGGAATCCCAATTTTACAACGTAATACTCTCATTCACCAAAGATGATTCTGACTAAGTTTGAGTAATTTTCTGCTGAAAATGAATAAAATATACCCCAAAGTGTTATTTCCCTATATAAACTATAAACTTTACCCCCTCCCCAAGGGAGAACGGATAGCTTGGGGGTCCTGAAATTTACGATTTAAATAAAGCCCCTGATGATTGTCTTTCCATGCAGAGAGATGAATGTAGTACCTCCTAGTCTGGAGGAGAAAATTTTGGAAATATTGGTTAATTTTCCCTTTTGGGCCCCGCCCTGGCCCCTAGGGTTGGGGTAGGAATTCATAACAAATCTGGTTGAGATCCGTAAGTATGTGAGCATGGTTAAAGGGATGGGACCTCAAACCTTTCAATGTAATGACCATACACTAAATCCCCAGGGGAAGGGGCAGATCTTAGAGCTAATTCTGTAACAGACTTTTGATGTTTCTAACATATGTATAATTATATGATGGAAATCTAACCCTGTCAAAGCTTTGCACTATGCTGGTCTACAAATCATGACCATCGATTGGTCTTATGGAACTGAAGATTCTTGAAGCCTAAATACTAACCATTTATAGCCAATGTTTGACCATAAACAGTGCTCAAAGTTCACCCTTGACCTAACCACCATTACAATTCACACTGCTGGTATACATATCATAACCAGTACCATTGCTCTAAATATTTCGGTTGTTTAGAAAATGATGTTTGAATCTTTTAACACATTTGACACCTGTGACCTTGATAGGAAATAAAGGGCCATTTATACGGGGAAACTTTATACAAATGCAGCACTCTATGCTAGGTATCTACTTGCCCAATATCAGTACCCTGAGCCTTTCATTTCTCAAGAAGAAGTTCTTTGATAAATAATGATGTTGACAGACGGTGGATGCTGCACCATACCATAAGCTCCCAGGCACTACATGCCAGTTGAGTTAATGACACTATCATAACAATAACAAAACACGATCCATCAGTTAGCCACAATGATAACTTGACGTATCAAGTTTTATATGGCCTTGATGGATGATTACATGAATTGTTATTGTAAAATACAGGTTCAATTATTTCACACGCTCTTAAATATCTAAACATTGACATTTGAAACATTTGCTTAGTTCCTGTCCCTGAAGAGCTTTTGTTCCTATTCAAGGTATGCTGTATCTCTCTGCCATCAAGCAAACATCTTCATGTCCAACCCCACTCAGCAAACTCACCTATCAAAGCTGACAACTTGGGATCCCTGCCTGTAAAATACAAGGATTCATGCCATAAGATACTTTACAAAGCAACCATTCAGATATAGGACAGACAACAAAGAGATACCGGCAGGATCTTGGTGCCCAACATCGGAAGATCTTCTTTAGTTCTATCTATGTAAGTTTAATCTCTTCTCTTCTGTTGTGGTAAATTTTGATTAATATTTAATTTCAAAGTTATGTCACTGTTTACTTGGTAAATAGCTATATGCGACAAATCTGTACTGTCACAACCCAATATTGCTGCCAAATCAGTCTGAAAATAAAACACGTACAGCTATGGACAAGGGGAGCCTTCATATAACAAGAGGCCCAAGTGTCAACTTGACACATGTGTTACAAAACCGGCACAGAAGAATAGGACAACATCAAATCTGAGTGATTGGGTTAGTCTAATATTCTGAGGGAGATTAAGATCAACTAATTAAGGCAACTCACAAATATGGTTCAACCCTACAAATAGACCGACTTTATTCAAATCCAGCTGATCAGGTTAGTCCAATGTTCTACTAAGGGAGATAAGGTTTTGCAGAAATACAGGTAAACCGCCAGCTCGAATGCTAGCTGTTTGACGGGTAGCTCAAAGTATCAAAGCAATGTTAGGTTTACAGTTCTTTTCATGTGTTAATGTATTGGTCCTGTCAATCTATTCTGTGCTTACAATAGACTCTACTGCAATGTAAGGTATGTCATTAAGATATTGAAAATACTTTAAATTCACACTGTCAAAATCGATATCAATATGTGTTGTATCAATACAATTCAAATGTCTCCATGAAACGACGTCACTGGTGTTTATCCAGCATAAGTAAAAATCAAGTCACAGAATGTACATCGCTTGAAAGAACCCCTGACATTGACCAGAGTGACCACGACACTGCATGGAAGCAATGAGTCAGTTTGTAAACATCATCTGGGTCCTCCGCCACTATTTCTGTAAGGCAATCCTCAGCTAGTCCAACATTTGAGGCTCTCCCTTCATAGGAAGTACACAACTACAAGATGACAGAGGGTAGCTGTCCTATCCGTAAAGGTTTGCTGAAATAACTCCATAAATAAAGGGTTGGAATGAAAACAAGAGGCCCAGAGGGCCTGTATCCCTCACCTGAATATGTTAAAAATAATTGGTATGAAGTAAAGATATAGCACTCCATGGTAGTACATATGAAATTTCAGAAAGATCCATCCAGTACTTGAGATATAGCGAGAAGAAACTTCAAACNGGGGGGGGTCATACCCATCAATTATACAAAATTGAGACACAAGGATGCTCCAGACTAAATATGGATAAAATCCCTTAATCCCGATGGTCGAAAAAGGATTTTAAAGGTTTTACCTCTATTTCTCCTATTGGGCACCACCCTTCTGCCCCCTGGGAGACCACATCCACTGCTTATACAAAATTGAGTCCCCTTGGCCCAAGAATGCTCCAGACTAAATTAGGATAAAATCTCTTAATCCCTATGGTAGAAGAAGGATTTTAAAGGTTTTACCTCTATTTCCCCTATTGGGCCCCAACTCTCTGCCTCCAGGGGGGTTAGACCCACCAATTATACAAAATTGAGTCCTCTTGGCCTAAGGATACTCCAGACCAAATTTAGTCAAAATCTACTTGGCCGTTCAGGACAAGTAGCGTTTTAAAGGAAAAGTTGACGGACGGACGACGGACGCTGCGATACGCATAAGCTCACCATGGTCCTTCAGACCAGGTGAGCTAAAAATTACTACCTATATGCACTATGTCAGGAGATTTTTTTTGTGAACAACAATGCATGAAAAACGTATGTCTACCCTTTAACGGTTTAAACGTTAGGCCAAAACAAGATATTCCTTAGCCTTTGCACATATTTTACCTTTGTCGTAAGGTCACTTACGACAGTGTACTAAACATCGTCTGTGGTTGATGCAGATATAAAGCAAGTCTATCAGGATATCTTTAACTTAGCACTTATTTCACCTTATTCTTAGAGGAACTGCCTACTGCGAAATTATAAAATAGGCCCAAGGGCTTTAGCAGTCACCTGAGTTATATTATAAGTACTGGTAGCTCAATTTCATTGCTGACATCAAAATCATTATGTTAACAAAGTGCAATACAATACTTGTCATGTCACGAAAGGATAAGAATTTTCAAAAACTATTCAAATAAATTATTTTGATTTTGAGAAATATAATATCTTTTGTTATTTAGCCAGTTTTCCTCTTGGCCAACCTCTAGGATAGGTCAGGATCTTAAGTTTCTGATGCTGTTTGATTTTAATTTCATTATAACTATTCCAACCAAGTTTGGAATTATTTCTTGCTGAAAATGCATAAGATATAGCGGAAGTGTTATTTCCTTATATAAACTATATTAAACTTCACCCTTTCCCAAAGGGAGAGCAGATGACCTGCGGAATAATGCAATTAACAATTTAGAGAATGCACCTAAGGACCTTTCTATCCATAAATAGTATTTTTTTGGAAAATATCAGTCTAATAAGATTTTTGAACTTTAAACCATTTTCTTTCATTGGACCCCACCCTTCTAGCTCCTGGGGATGGGACAGGATCTTATTTTCTCATGCCATCTAATTGCCATCTGACATTATAATCATTCCAACCAAGTTTGAACAATATCCTGCTGAAAATGGACAAAATATACCCAAAAGTATTACTTCCCTATATAAACTTAAAACAAGCGAGAATGGATAGTAAAATTGCAAAATAGATAAAGCCCCTGATGGAATTTTCATCCATGCACATAATTTGATTGTAGAACCTCCGAGTCTGAACAAGAAGACTTTTGAAATATTGGTAAATTTTCCCTTTGGGGCCCCGTCCTGGCCCCTGGGGTGGGGGTAGGAATCCCAATTTTACTATTTGATGCCATCTTCCCCCAAGGATGATTCTCACCAGTAAGAATAATTTCCTACTGAAAATTGACAAAATATACCAAAAAGTGTTATTTCCCAATATAAACTATAGTAAACTTCATCTCCTCCTCAAGGGAGAACGGATGGTCCGGGATGGTCGGCTGGTGCCGTGGATAGCGCACTAGCCTTTCACCAAGGCGGCCGGTGTTTCGATTCCCCGATCGGACGTGAAAAGCTTGGGGTCACCTGCCCGATCACGTTGGTTTTCTCCGGGTACTCCGGTTTCCTCCCACACTAATTAGACCCCCAACGCGCTAATATCTGGGCCAACAAGAGTGATTAATATAAGTTGAAATAAATTGTTTCATAATTGTTTTAAAATAAATAAAGTTTATATTTTTTATATGAGTCTGGAGAAGAAGATTTTTGAAATATTGGTTTATTTTCCCTTTGGAGCCAAGCCCTGGCCCCTAGGGGAAATCCATCCACTGGTTCTTGAGAAGAAGTAAAAAATGCTAAAAGTTTACCCACAATGGACGATAAAGTGAGGGACCGTTGGCTTCACCTTGGCTTAAACCTTTAAATGTTTGAAACAATCAAACTGTTTTTACCTTTGACCTTGAGATAAAGGCCACAGTGACCTGATGACAGTACAGCATTGCACATCATCTGTAGGTGATGCAGTTATAATGCAAGTTCATCAAGATATCCTTAATGGTTTAATAGTTACAGCCCGGACAAGATGTTCCTAAAAAATTGCACATATTTGACCTTTGACCTTGGGGTCAAGATCGCAATGACCTAATGACAGTGCACTTCTCATTGTCTTTGGGTGCTGCAGGTATACTGAAAGGTTCATCAAGATGTCTTAAATGGTTCAAAAGTTACGGCCTGGACAAGAATGTACTGACAATTTTGCACTTATTTGACCTTTGACCTTACAATGAAGGTAATTTTGTCTTGATTCTATTGCAATGTACACATTCGGTGGGTGATGCAGGTACACCTCAAGTTCCACAAAGTTATCTTTAACAGTTTAAAAGTTTATAATGGACCGGACAAGATCATATTAGAAGAACCAGAAGCAGAACCAGAACTAATACAATACATTCGAAGGGGAAACATAATTACAATATCTGTAATTTTTGGTTGAAATCAGCTCAGAAGTTACGGTAAGTTGACAAGAATTTTTCAACAAAGGGCCGTAACTCCATAAACAAGAGATCACCATTGTACCATCTTTATTAGTTCTATGTCAGTTCAATCTTTTCTCTTCTCTTCTTTTATCTTTTTGATTGAGTCATTTTAGCAGTAAATGTACCTTAAAGTAACTTAAGATCTAAGCTTCATACTGCTGAGTATAACATAATGGGTTTGTCATTTCACATACTTACTAGTACAGTACTTAATGTGAAAGAAATAGATCAATGCAATATGAGAAAGATCTGTTCAGTACTTTCTGCAGCCATCTTGTTTTTATGATCACTCGCAAATTAAAACATGCACAATAAGAGACTTAGGGTAACCTACATATCAAATTTGCGAAAAATCCCAACAGTACTTCCTGAGATATAGAATTGTTTAAGGACGGACGACTGATGTACCCCGGACCAAGGACTACGGACGAATAATGGCTATATATCGGACAACTTTCATTCGAATTGTCCCGCAGTTTTGGAAGAGATATCCAGACAAGGATTTTTCAACAAAGGGCCATAATTTTGCGAAAAAATGCAAGTATGTATTGTGTAAAATGAATACAAAATTATGTAATTTAGTACAAGTTTTGCATATGAATATAGTTTTAAGAATTATTACCATTTGTAAGTGATTCCACCTAAAGAAAACAGAGACTGAATGACTTTTATGCATTTTTAAATAATAACCATTATCCAACCAAACTCATATAAAGTGAAATGGAAAAGGCTGTTGAGCAGGGACTTGGACTTTTACATCTCGATACAGAACAAGAGGCCCAGAGGGCCTGTATCGCTCACCTGGATATCTAAGAAATCATGGCAAAATATTCTCCAAATAAGTTCCAAGGGAATGGTCCAGACCCCTAGGCCAATCCTTGTAGTATATCTGTATTAGATTTTTCATGCCCAGAAATGTTATGTTTGGTTATTGGGTGGGGGGATCTCAACTGTTTCCAAGCTGTGACTCAGAACCTAGGTCCCTAGGATTGTTGCAAGACCCCAGGATCAATTCTAATATCATTACTGCATTCGTCTCTTTATGCCCAGCATTTGTATATATAGTTTTGGGTTGGGGATCTTAACCGATTCAAATTATGACCCAGAGACTATGTATCCAAGGGTGGGGCCAGACTCAAGGGCCATCCTGGAAGCATATGTGCATTCTTTTCTTTTAACTTAGCAATTGCATATAAGCTTATAGGGTGGGGATCTCAACCATTTCCAAGTAATAAACTATTTTGGCCCCGCCCCGCAGCCTAGGGGGTCATCCCCACCATTTGTACAATTTTGAATCTCCACTACCTAGGGATGCTGCCAGTCAAATATGGTTGATATCCTTCTCTTAGTTACAGGGGAGAAGTAGTTTAAAGCAATATAGCCAACTTGCCCCCTTTTGGCCCTTCCCCTCAGCCCCCTGGGGGTCAGCCCCACCATTTATACAATTTTGAATCCCCGCTACCTAAGGATGCTTCCAGTCAAATTTAGTTTAATTCCAATCAGTGATTAAGAAGAAGAAGCTGTTTTAAGAAATTGTTGACGTACGGACGACGGACGACACGTACGGTATGGCAAAGGACCAAGGTGAGCTAAAAAATGAAAAATATATTACGTTTGTCCCTATATATGCACAATCTTTACAATTTTTTTTTTTTAATTTCAATTTAAAGTAATTTAGTCTGTTTGGTGATTGATAAGAATGTTATGTTGATAACAGACAACAGCAGATGAAAACTAAAGACAAAATGCTACTTGAGTAATTGACTCAGGTGACCTAATTCTACATTACTAAAACATGTTGTCAAAAACATACCGCTGGTATTTGAATCCTCATTTAAAGGTGGATTTACAGTAATATTATCATCTCTATAGTTCTTCTGGAGTCTTCTCATCCGTATTCGGCACAGTTCTGCATCCTTTCCTCTCCCAATCTTTTTTCTTTCCTTGGATTTGAGATGATATTGTAATCGTTTTGTCAGTAGTTCTGCTGCATTAGTAGGATCCCTGACATCTTTTTTTATATGTTTTCTTAACAGCTGCCTCATCAAGCAAGTCTTTCCGGCTCCAGCATGACCAATAAATGTCAACTTGATAGTTTGAGTTTTTATTTTCTTCTGCATACCGTTTTCATATCTTAATTTCTTTGCCACCATGCTTTCTTCAGATTCGTCTGTAAATATTAAAGGATGCTACTTGAAAGAAAATATATTTTCAGCTGCATTAAAAAAACAAAATATTCTAAATGGATCTTGGTGCCTACCTTCAAAGGATCTTGTTTTCCTTACTGGTATTCATTTGACAGCCATATTAGCCTTAAAATTAAAATATGCATAACAAAGGGTCACCGGGAACCTGTATGTGTAACTTCAAAACCGATCCCTCCAGTACTTTCTGAGAAATAACACTATCAAACTTAAAAACTCTCAAAATTCAATATTTCCACTTATTGGCCATATCCATAATGATGTTCCAATCAGTCCCCCCAGGTAAGCCACATCCTTCTTTTATACAAAATTGAACTCCATTTGCCCAAAGATCCTCAAGAAGAAGATTAGTTAAAATCCCTTCATTGGTACAAAAAGAGATGAATTTAAAAATATATATATATTTCCCCTTTTGGGCCCCGCCTCTCTGCCACATCCTCCGTTTATACTAAGTTGAATCCCCTCGCCCCATAGATGGGTTTTTTTTCAATCCCTGCATTGGTACAAACAGAGAAGGATTTTAAACCTTTCTTTTATTTTCCTTATTGGGCCTACCCCTCTGCCCAAAAGGGGCCACAGATTCATTTTATACAAAAATGAGTCTGTACAGAATGAGGAAATTTTTGAGAAATTCTGTATTAACGCGTATTATTAAGGTTTTACACTCATCATTGCTTGTCAAGGCCTTTTTGTACAGAATGAGAAATGTTTTTCGCTATTTCCCCTATTGGGCCCCTCCATCTATCCTTAGTTGGCCCACATCCGCCATTTATACAAAATTGAATCCCCTTTGCCCAAAGATGATCTAGAACAAATTTGATGATAAACCCTTTATTCACACAGAAGGTTTCCTTTTTGGGCCCCACCAGGGCGGGGGGCGGGGCAACAGCCTCAGTTGATACAAAATTGAGTCCTCTTTCCCTAAGAATGCTCCAAGCCACTTTTGATTTAAATCCCTTCATTTGTACAGAAGGAGAAAGATTTTTTTCTATTTCCCCTATTTGGCCCCACCCTCTATCCTAAGGTTTATACAAAATTGAATCCATTCTCCCCAAAGATACTCTAGAAAAAGTTTGGTTAAAATCCCTTCATTGGTACAAAAGCAGAAAGATTTTTATTCAATTTCTCTATTTTCCTAATTGGGCCCCAACCCTCTGCACTAAAGGGGGCTATATTCTCTGTTTATACAAAATTAAATCCCCTTTGCCAAAAAATGCTCTGGAACAAGTTTGGTTAAAATCCCTTCATTGGTACAAAAGGAGAAGGATTTTTATTCAATTTCTCTACTTCCCCAATTGAGCCCCAACCCTCTGCACTAAAGGGGGCCATATCCTCCGTTTATACAACGTTGATTTCCCTTTGCTCAAAGATGCTCTAGAACAAGTTTGGTGAAAATCCCTTCATTGGTACAAAAGGAGAAGGATTTTAAAATTTCCTTTATTTCCCCTATTGGGCCACAGACTCATTTATACAAAATTGAGTCCTCTTTCCCTAAGGATGCTCCAGGCCAGATTTGATTTAAATCACTTAATTTGTACAGAAGGAGAAAGATTTTTCTCTATTTCCCTTATTGGGCCACGCCCTCTGTTCTACGGTGACCACATCCTCTGTTTATACAAATTTGAATCCCTTTTGCACAAAGATGCTCAAGAACAAGTTATGTGATCCTGACATTATGACTGAGGTTGTATGTTATAATAATAATAGTTTGAGGATCTTATAAACCGCTTTATCACAACCTAGTGCGAAGGTCATCTCAAAGCGATTAACAAATTAGTATCGATGGTTATAGGGCCTCTGCAACCAGCCAATATCTTTCTCAACTCCCTAGGGAGCATATAGCCAGTGCTGCCATTTCGGCACTCACAGCTAGCATTCAACAATTCATGCACTGCCCAACCATGTACTCATTTACACAGATGTGTTACCCTGACATTTAGTTACATTAAATATTGCTGTCCGTTATACCTGGTTTGCTAAGTTGTGATTTTATAGCTTCAACTTCTTCCACGACAGCTCCAACTTCATCCCTGACAGCACCGATATTGCCCGTTAGAAATATTGAAACAACTTTTATTTCAAACCGATACAATTTCAAAATGTTTTTGATACAATCCTTGATAAATTCCAGATAAGAAATCTTAGTACAGGAATTTGTGAAATTTTGATTGAACATCCATGACATGTATGGCGTTACAGTTGTGATAGACTGAATATAGAAAGCTGAGTTACATAATGTATGGTACCACGTGTATTGGATTAATAGAAAAGACAATGCTTCCTATACATATACAATGAGATATATCACCTCCATGGTGTGTTTGATGCTATTTTTGCTACAGAAACTAATCGTTATGCTCATCAGTTACAAACCTGATCCAAGATAGTGCATGTGGCCATCTTGAATTTTAAATCAACTTAAACAAGAGATCGTAGAAGTATATATATATATTGGAGCCCACCATGTAGGGATCTTTATCAGATCTACAAAAGATGATCTGACAACTTCTTTGATCTTCAATTTCCTTACAGACAAGAGGCCCATGGGCCTTAACGGTCACCTGAGTCCTGATTAGTATGGGGCCATAACTCTGTGTATTGAAACCTAATTCTAGTGCACTGCACACCTTCTGTTGGTGATGCAGGTATACTACAAGTTTGATCAAGATATCTTTAACGGTTTAAATTTTACGGGACGGACAAGAATTTACTGAAAATGTTGCACTTATTTGACCTTTGACCTTGATGTGAAGGTCACAGTGACCTAATTCCAGTGCACTGCACACCTGCTGTGGGTGGTGCAGGTTTACCTCAAGTTTCATCAAGATATCTTTAACGGTTTAAAATTGATAGCCTGGACAAGTTGTGATTAGAAGAACAAGAAGAAGAACCAGAAAAAGAAGAAGAACCGGTACTAATACAATATGTCTCCCTTCATTCGAAGGGGAGACATAATGAAAAGTGTTTGCTTCCAATGAATACGAGAGTGTATCAAACTGTCATCTCAGGGTAATAATTTCAACAAGAGGCCCATGGGCCTTAACGGTCACCTGATATATTTATTTATACAGAGAGTTGATTTCGTTTTTAACATGAACAGAAATATTATTCAAAGTGACAAAAAGCAATAAAACCACCTTATTCAATATCAAGCATACAAATTTCAGACTAAAAAGGATTTGAAACTAGCACCTCTGATTCTAAACAAGGAAAATGAAGAAATTTTAGCACACTGACTCCCTTGAGCCCCACCCTACAGCCCTTGGGGGTAGGGCTGGCTCAAAATTTTCAAAGTATCAAACTGTCAACTCAAGGTTATAATTCCAATCAAGTTATTAACATGTAATATTCAAAGTATCATTTGCCATTATAAACCATAATAAATTTTGCCCCCCCCCCCCCCCTCCCCAGGGGGTAAACGTGAGACCCTAGGGTCATAAACCTTAAGACCCTTCCATCTATGAAGAGTATTTGATTCTACCATATCTGGGTCTTGAGAAGAAGATTTTTGAAATTTCAGTAAATTCGACCCTTTTTGGCCCCACCCATCAGCCCCTGGGGGTCAGTCAGGGCTGATATGTGCTTATTATCAAACTGCTACCTAATACTGATAATGCTAACCCAAATTGAATTACTTCCAATGGAAATTAAACAAATGTTGGTCCAAAATGTGATTTCCCTATATAAACTATAGTAAAGTTTACCCCCTCCCCAGGGGGAAACGTGAGACCCCAGGGTCAAGAAATTCACAATTTCGGTAAAGCACCTTAAGACCCTTCCATCTATGAAGAGTATTTGATTCTACCATATCTGGGTCTTGAGAAGAAGATTTTTGAAATTTCAGTCAATTCAACCCTTTTTGGCCCCACCCATCAGCCCCTGGGGGTCAGTCAGGGCTCATCAAACTGCTACCTAATACTGATAATGCTAACCCAAATTGAATTACTTCCAATGGAAATTAAACAAATGTTGGTCCAAAATGTGATTTCCCTATATATAAACTATAGTAAATTTTACCCCCTCCCCAGAGGTAAACGTGAGACCCCAGGATCATGAAATTCACAATTTTGGTAAAGCACCTTAAGACCCTTCCAGCTATGAAGAGTGTTTGATTCTACCATATCTGGGTCTTGAGAAGATTTTTGAAATTTCAGTCAATTCAACCCTTTTTGGCCCCACCCATCAGCCCCGGGGGGTCAGTCAAGGCTCATATGTGTATGCCATCAAACTGCTACCCAATACTGATAATGCTAACCTAATTGAATTACCTCCAAAGGAAATTAAACAAATGTTGGTCCAAAATGTTATTTCCCTTTATAAACTATAGTAAAGTTTACCCCCTCTCCAGGGAGAAACGTGATACCCCAGGGTCATAAAATTCACAATTTTGGTAGAGCACCTTAAGACCCTTCCAGCTATGAAGAGTGTTTAATTCTACCATATCTGGGTCTTTGAGAAGAAGATTTTTGAAATTTCAGTCAATTCAACCCTTTTTGGCCCCACCCATCAGCCCCGGGGGGTCAGTCAAGGCTCATATGTGTATACCATCAAACTGCTATCCAATACTGATAATGCTAACCTAAATTGAATTATTTCCAATGGAAATTAAACAAATGTTGGTCCAAAATGTGATTTCCCTATATAAACAATATAGTCTCAGGGGGAACGTGAGACCACAGGGTCAAGAAATTCACAATTTTGGTAAAGCACCTAAGACCCTTCCATCTATAAAGAGTATTTGATTCTACCATATCTGAGTCTTGAGAAGAAGATTTTTGAATTTTTAGTCAATTTGACCCTTTTTGGCCCCACCCCTCAGGCCCCTGGGGGCTGGGGACCAAACCGGCCACTATTTTTGTTGACCTTTGGCCATGGAAGGTTTCTGCAAAATTTCATTGAGATTGGTTCAGGGGTTTTGGAGAAGAAGTCGAAAATGTAAATTGTTTACGGACGCACGACGGAAGACGGAAGACGGACGACGCCGGACAAAAGTCGATCACAACAGGTCACTTGAGATTTTGTCTCAGGTGACCTAAAAATATGGTCCAGCACATTGCTTACATTCGATATAAATGACTTAAACTCATAATAGACAAATGTGTATTGAGTGTGAGGATCCAACACTGTTTGGAAAAAACCTGCACCAAAACTTTAACCTCTGAAGGTTCCCAGACGCCGACGCCGGGGTGACTACATTAGCCCCCCTATTCTTCGAATAGGCGAGCTAAAAAGTAAAAGTTGGGCATCTGATGTCCATTCTAAATCAGGAATGTATTTTACTCCATTGAAATAATCTAGGAAGACTAACCAAACTTGAATATCTTCCTTCAAATCACGGGGTATTCGCATTTGATGGCGGGAGGGTGACCATACCCGTAATTGAATCATAAAAAACGCCTTTTGAAAGCTCTGGCACAGATATGGCTCTGGAGCAGAAATTCAAAAGACTAGTCAATGCCTGAATCTCTTTGACTGTTTCTTTTTTCACACTATACGAAGATAAAAGTTTTGCTTTGAGCTCAACCAGTTTGGCTTGGGGAATTCTGACTGTCATATCCAGTGTATTAATTTCCAAACCCAAAAATACCAGTATTTGCACAGGCCGATCAGTTTTCTCATTTGCCAGTGGCAACCCAAGTTCATGACAAGTCAGCTGTTGGAACACGTGCATAAGGGTGCTACAAATTGAACTGTCACGTTCCCCAGCACACAGAAAGTCAGGGATATTGGAATTTGTATAACAACCCATTCTAAAAAAGTTGTGAATTTTTCGAAAAAAGAACAAGAAATTGAACATTCCATAGAAAGACAACGATCAACAAAAACTTTCCCATTAGCTAATTAAAACCTAGTAATTCAAAGTCCATGGGGTGAACTGGTAGCAGCCAGAAGGCTGATTTTATGTCTAACTTCGCTAAGAAAGCACCTTGGCCTAACAGTGCTTATCTATTTCAACATAGCAGGGGCTTCATCCTGATGGGCAAAATATGAATTGACATAAAAATCAAAAAGGCATCAGTCCATGCCTGAATGTCAGTTATTTTCTTGATTGGTTCCTTATTGATAATTTTGATTTCCCCATCAACCAAACCAATTCCCTTAGCTTGCTCATCAATGTTTCGTTCCCACAGTTCAATCTTTTCTCTTCTTTCCTCTAATCTGTTTGATCAAGTCATGTTAACAGTAAATGCACCTTGAGGTAACTTTTGATCTAAACTTAATACTGATGTGTATGAAAGCCAACCTTCAAAGTGAGTTTGTCATTTCACATATTTACTAGTACAGTACTTAATGTGAAAGAAATAGAATCGATCATTGCAATATGAGAAAGATCTGTTTAGTTCTTCTTTTAATCCATTTTGTTTTTATGATCAGTCTCAAAATATAACATACACAACGAGGGATCAAGGGGAACCTACATTTAAAATTTGAGAAAGATCCCTCCCGTACTTCCCGAGAAATAGCGATAACAAACTTTCACTATCAAAATCCAAGATGGCTGCCTGTCGGCCATGTTGTTTATCCGATCAGTCTCAAAAGTTGCCCTGCACAGCAAAGGACCAAGGGGAAACTACATATAAAATTTGAGAAAGATCCCTCTGATACTTCCCGAGAAATAGCGATAACAAACTTTCACTATCAAAATCCAAGATGGCTGCCGGTCGGCCATGTTGTTTATCTGATCAGTCTCAAAAGTTGCCCTGCACAGTTAGGGACCAAGGTGAACCTACATATAAAATTTGAGAAAGATCCCTCTGGTAATTTTTTTTACAAAAATTCAATTGTCGCTCAAAGCTTGTAAATATAAAACGGAGGATTAAGTCAGAGGGTTGTTTTAGGTCATTTTTAAATGAAAAGTGTTTTGTTTTCTCCATTATTTCCGTTCTAATTTATAGTTTGCGTTGAAATTTACAACTCTACTCAGTTGAGTACACTCACATAAAATGCAAATTCGCTACAGGGGCGGATACAGGAATTTTTTTAGGGTGTTGCCCAAATTTAACAAGAGGCCCAAAGGGTCTGTATCGCTCACCTGAATATTTAAGCAGTCATAGCAAAATATTCTCATTAAATATTATCCTGTACTACAAATATTTCACTTGCAAACTCTGCTGGCTCCATCAGTTGAAACTACCAGCCAAATATTATTGTATGATTTTATGCTTTTTGGTTCTTCTTCAGAAGTTGTTTGAAGTGTTTGACATATTTGACCCCTGTGACCTTTTAAGGAGATCTAGGTTATTTTCATTTTCAAACTTTGTCAGGCGCTATCCCAGGAGGCTACCAGCAAAATATTATAAATCTATGCTCTAAGATTATTCAGAAGAAGTCGCTTAATTGTTTGACATATTTGATCCCTGTGACCTTGTAATTAAGTCAAGGTCCTTTTTTTTTTAAACATTGTCGGTCTCTATCAATGAAAGCAACCAGCCAAATGTTAAAATTATATACCTTTTAGTTCTTCAGAAGAAGTTGTTTGAAGTGTTTGACACATTTGACCCCTGATACCTTGAAAGTACGTCAAGGTCATTTTCATTCTCAAACTTTGTGGGGCTTTATCCCAGGAAACCACCAGCCAAATATGAAGATTCCATACCTTTTAATTCTTCAGAAGAAGTCGTTTGAAGTATTTTGTCTAGAACATACTTGGGCCTAGGGGATTCAGTTTTGTATAAATGTTGGGTTTGGACCCCCTGTAGGAAGAGTTGCAGGGTCCAATAGAGAGAAAAGAGGTAAAAACCTTCGCAATTCTTCTTCTACCATAAGAATTAAGGGTATTATATCAATTCAGCCTTGACTTTTTTGTATAAACCAAGGGTGAGAACCCTCTAGGTGCTGAGAGTTATTTTCGTTCTTAAATTTTATCAGGCTCCTACCAAAGAAGCTTTCAGCTAAATATCATGACTCTAGGCCTGTCCGTTCTTCAGAAGAAGTTGTTTAAAGGAAAAGTTGACGGAAAACAGACAAATGGACGACGGACGCTGCACCATGACATAAGCTCATTTGCCCTTCGGGCAAGTGAGCTAATAATCTAAGTCTGAAAATATCATTACAGGAAACATTGATTGATTCAATTTTCACAAACTGGTTGAAGAAGGATTTTAAAGGTTTTACCTGTATGTCTCCTATTGGGCCCCGCCCTTTTGCCCCCTGGGAGACCACACCCACTGCTTATACAAAATTGAGTCCCCTTGGCTCAAGGATGCTTCAGACTAAATAAGGATGAAATCCCTTAATTCCTAAAGTAGAAGAAAGATAAAGGTTTTACCTCTATTTCCCCTATTGGGCACCACCCCTCTGACCCCAGGGGAGCCATATACCCACCGTTTATACTAAATGAGTTCCCTTGGCCCAGGGATGCTATAGGCTAAATAAGGATAATATCCCTTAATACCTACGGTAGAAGAAAGATTTTAAATGTTTTACCTCTATTTCCCCTATTGGGCCCCACCCCTCTACCCCCAGGGGGGCCACACCAATCGTTCCAGACCAATTTAGTTAAAATTTGAGAAAAAAAGAAAAAGTTGACAGACAGACGACGGATGCTGCGCTATGGCATAAGCTATTCCTGATTTCATATTGATTCATTATAATTTTAATGAATATTATTTATCCTGTATATATAATCAGCCTTTGTTTACAATTACCTTCGATCTGCGCTGTAAGTGTTATAAAATTCTTTTCTGTACTGGGGTCCATCCTCATGGTAAATGTAGTATCCACTGCCACCACAAACCGCCCTGTATTCAGTTCACTGTTTTGTATTTCCTCCACACTTTGGCGGATGATGTCCCACCTTGCCTGAAACTCTCCATCAGAAAGGGAGGCATTGGGTGCATGTACAACCTCATTGCGTTGCATACGTAGTCGGTCGATGTTGGCAGACAGTGATCTGTCTGCTTTATCCGGTACCTTCCCCCAACCATTCTGATGAGGTGGAATATTTCCAAGGTTTCTAAGTAGGTTGAATAGAAGTGATGTGTCCAAATCCTTCACAGAACCTTGAAACAGCCCACCCTGAGGATACAGAATCTTCTTTTGTTGTCCATTCAACAAGGGGAAGACCTGATCTTTCTGGTTAGTAAGTGCATGAGCGAGTCCTGATGGTGCCAGTCGAGCGATGAGCAAATCTTGGAATAAGTCAGGGATGACATCAAAGACCAACCTGGTAATCCGGGCAAAGTTTGTAGACTGGTATTTGGCGGCTGCCATCTTCAAAGTTGGTTTATAGCAACATAGTAAGACTGATGCTGAAAAATATATAAAAAAAAAAGCCAGAATATCATTACAGACTAAGATTTAGAAGGGAAAGCATGAAAAGTGTTATACCAGGACTCTATAGGTAACACTATTTATGCTAAACATGTCATTTCAATCAATTTTATAGTAAACACAAGAGGATTGGGCAACAGGCTATGCCTATATAAGAAGCCGTCTCAATTGTACATACAAATATATGCACGATTCAAATAGAATCATAGAGATATTACGAACAAATATATAATTTAAATAGATTCACTGAGTTACCAAGAACAAATACAGTTTAAATAGAATTATTGTTACTCATTTACAAGTTGGATGAATATACACTATATAAAGATATAAGGGAGGTAACTCTTATGCGATTTAAGCTACTGCGAAATATTTTATCTAAGCAATTTATATAAAGTAAGTGTAAAGTAGTTCAGGTATCCTCAGTGTTGTAAGGTATAGAATCCAATAATACTACCTAGGTTTCAGACCATAAATGTCCATAGCCAGTCACTGGCAAAGGTCGTTCACCGGGCTATCCTTGGATTCCTACATCACAAAACTTGAGTATTAATAAAGAATGGATATTAATATAACCTAAGATTTTTCTTGTTGGTACACCACATGCCATCATCAAGCCATTGATAACCATTAGATAATTTGATACAAATAATATTGATTAAGCATATAAATATTAATATTGATAATACTCAGAAGAATTCGTATACTTTTAGTGTTTATGAGAAATTCTGATGTCTTTTCAAGTATATTTGTATGAGCTTCGTTGGTACATCCGTTGAGTATAACAGTTATGTTGTTGTGTAGATGAACATCATTTTGTAGGAAGTCTGTTAGTATTTGTCTTTCATTAGTAAAGAACAGGCATTCAAAGAAATAATGGAAAGAAGTTTCCTGAGGATGTCCACAATTACAACTAGGTGAATCAGATAGTTGATCATTATATAAGTCATAGTTGTAATTACTAGCATTATTTCTGAGCTGGCATAGAAGGATATTAACTTTTCTAGGTCCATAATTTTGGAAAGGGGTGGATACATCAGATACTTGATCGTCATGGTTTTTCAGTAGGTTTTTGAATTGTGATTGAGTTGGGGTGTTAGTAATTGAGGAGTCTAATTTGTTATATTCATTGAAGGAAAAAACTGTAAAAATAACTATCTGTTCGGCAGAGAGGTGGATTAAATATTCTATTTTCCCTTAATTGATATCGGTTATTTGAATTGTCATTAACAAATGGGTCAATAATATCCCTCAAATATGTTGGCGAGTCGAAGTGTAATATTTTATACATTAAAATAAGATTTTGTTTGTGTCTTCTTTCAGCTAATGATTCCCATTGTAGTTCTTTATAAAGTTTTGTATGTGAAGTACCTCGACGTACTGACCAGTAATTATTCTAGCTGCATCTAATTGAATTGACTCTAAACCTACTTTATCATGTTCTGTACAATCATCCCATACTACACTAGAATATTCTACAATTGGCCTAATATAAGTATACATCATAATGAGAGATTTTCTATCTACTGAATATTTGAGGTTCCTTAAAATATTGATTCTTTTGTAAGCTTTATCATAAGTGTTTTGAACGTGCTCTGCCCACTTTCCGTCCTCACTGAAGGTAAGACCAGGGGGGGGGGGGGGGGGGGGGGGGGGAGGGGAGGGGGGAGGTAATTGCTCTAAATCAGGGGAGGAAGTTGCAATAGATGAAAATAGTCATTTAAAGTTACAGCTTTATCAAATGGATGTTGGATACTGACTCCTTCAGGAAGAAGCGGAGGTATGCTTTCAGTTTTGTTATTATTACTAGGACTGATTTTGCAATTTTCCACCATTAATGGAAGGAGGAATTGATTTATCACACAAAGACTTTTTTAAATTTCTGAAATACTCTTTTTTTGCACTTCTGATCATATTGATTGCTTCATTTCTTATATTTCTGAAATTTTCCCAGCGAGTCTGGTTATTGCTGCTTTTTGCTTTTTTATGGATTCTATTTTTTTTGTCGAAGTATCAATCTTATTTCTTTGTTCATCCAGGGTTTATCATCAGGTCGAATAGGTATTATTTTTGAAGGTATACATTCATCCAATTGTTTTAGAGTAGCTCTTGTTAATACATTTAAAATATTCAGTGTTATTTGTTTGAGAGGTTAAAAACCAAACAGTTTCATTCAAAGATCTATTCATTTTTTCAGCATCCTTATACGCGAGTATAATGTACCCCAAGACCTGAACCCGTAAGAACAGGCCCGACACCAAGACTGTCCCCGAAGACAGCACCACTTGGAATGCTGGGATCACTGACGGTCCGTCAGTGACCGGCGGCCGGTGTCACATGCCATTTGGACAGGGTGTACATAAATTGTAAAAATTAGTGTTTGAATACAGCACGCTTTCCAGCCAGGTAACTTTAACAGGTAAGTTGCGCATGCGCTATTGAGTGTACTACAGGTGAGAAGGGCGGACATTACGGGTGCGGACCGTGTAGTGAACGTTGGAGCGCAAATAGCTGCTTGTGGTAAGTTTAAACTTGTTAAAGTTTTATCAGATCTATTATAACAAATGTATTGATTCATATATATGCGTTGGACCTTATAAGTGCTGTATAAAGGTGTATTTTACCTGGTATGAATGTATGCGTACCCGGTACTGTGAGCGCACGGGGTGTGTATATATGCGTGTATGGGACCAGGTAAAGCGTGAACAATAGAACTGTTACCTTTGTTCAGCATAAGGAAATGTTTAGTGCTAGCATTGCTGCTTAAATACTATATATAACCAGTTCAGATATAGATTATATTGTATTAATTAATAATTGTTAAAATGTAATTATATAGTTTACTAGTATAATACTATCGTTACATGTATAATAGTTATTAATTAAGGCATAAGTATATTGTAGCTTTTCGTCCCTGGGCCATCAACGTTCGTGTAACGGAAGGCCAAATACAGATGGTCATTTTGGTACTCTACCACTATCGGATCCCGATAACGTGAGACTGAACGTTCCCTTCACCTACATATATACCTACCTGTACTTGTGTGGTCGTGGAGAGAGTAAAACCTAATATCCTTGTCTTTGGCTGGTCTGTGTGACATATTACTGTATATACTTACCTGGACCTGTGTGGCCATGGAGAGGGTGACACTGTATACCCGTACATTGGACTGGTCTGTGTGACCTGTGTCCAACTAGTCTGTGTAACCATAGACCTAAATTAACGGGACCTTTACTTTAGGTCTCTGGTGTAACTGAGTGTTGACTGGTCTGTGTGACTGAGTGTTGACTGGTCTGTGTGACTGAGTGTTGACTGGTCTCTGTGACCTGTGTCCAACTGGTCTGTGTGACTCAGTGTTGACTGGTCTGTGTGACTGAGTGTTGACTGGTCTGTGTGACTGAGTGTTGGCTGGTCTCTGTGACCTGGTCTCTGTGACCTGTGTTAACCTGGTCTGTGTGACTGAGTGTTGACTGGTCTGTGTGACTTAGTGTTGACTGGTCTCTGTGACCTGTGTCAACCTGGTCTGTGTGACTGAGTGTTGACTGGTCTCTGTGACCTTTGTCAAACTGGACTGTGTGACTGAGTGTTGGCTGGTCTGTGTGACTGAGTGTTGACTGGTCTGTGTGACTGAGTGTTGACTGGTCTCTGTGACTTGTGTCAAACTGGTCTGTGTGACTGAGTGTTGGCTGGTCTCTTTGACCTGTGTCAAACTGGTCTGTGTGACTGAGTGTTGGCTGGTCTGTGTGACCTGCAGTTGACTGGTCTGTGTGACCTGTACCGGCTGGATCTGTGTGACCCGCTACGTTCTATATATGTTTGTGAGCTTGGAGGGGACTTCACTGATATTGGACAAGTCTAAGGGAGGACGGCGTCATCAACATTGGAGACGACACAACAGCGTCCAACAAGCTACAGAGACTTTAGGGTGTTGATATGGCATTTTGTAATATTAGTTAGTTATATATATGTACATATCACATGTCATTCGTTAACGCGAGAGAGAGCCAATCTGATATTGTGTGTGATGAATATTGTATATTATGTACCAATTATGCATTGTAAATACATTGTATATACTGTATGAACCGTGTTTGCCTCATGTTCTTGGGAACCAGTATTTAATCAATCCAGGTCGGTTCTCGTTACAGCCGGTAGTCCCTACCCGAAGGCAGAACCAAAGCTTATTACGGGCGTTCCCCTGCTCACGAGATGGACTCGCCTAAGAAAAATTCCTCCAGTTAATTCTGAGAAATAGTGATAACAAATTTAAACTGTAATAAGATGGCCGGCTGATATGATTTGATATGCATAGCTAAGAACAAGAGGAACCCTTATGTGAAATTTGAGAGAAAGATCCCTCCAAGACTTTTTGAGAAATAGGGCTAAAAGATTTTTACTTCCAAACTCAATACAACCGCCTGCCAGCCATCTTGGTTTTCCAATTATCCCCAGAATTCGAAATGCGGAACTAGGAATCATGGGGAACCTTCATGTAACGTTTGAGAAAGACCCCTCCTGAATATTCTGAGAAATAACGCTAACAAACTTTCATTCTCAAATTCAAGATGACCGTCTGTCGGCCATCTTGGTTTTCCCTTATGTCCCAAAATTTGATATGTGTAACTAAGGGTGATGGGGAACTTTCATGTCAAAGTGGAGAAAGATCGGACACCTCCAATACTTTCTGAGGAACAGCGCTAACAAACTTTAACTCTCGAATTTAAGATGGCTGCCTGTCGGCCATCTTGGTTTTGTTATCAGTCCCAAAAAATGATATGCGTAACTAAGGACAATGGGAAACCTATATTTTTAATCTGAGAAATATCCCTCCAATACTTTGAGAAAAAGCACTAACAAACTTTCATTCTCAAACTCAAGATGGCTGGATCAGTCCCAAAAAACGATATGCATATATATATATAACTAGGGATCATGGGGAACCCTTCATGTGAAATTTGAGAAAGATCCCTCCAGTACTTTCTGAGGAACAACGTTTTCCGCTAACAAACTTAAACTCTCGAATTCAAGATGGCTGCCTGTCACTTTTCATTATTATTTTTTAAACAAATATTTCAAGCAACGAGTTAGAGGAGTTACACATCAAGTGGTATCTTGACGATTTATTTTTATTTTAGAGACGATCGCATAAAAGGTCAATCAATTATTATTTTCTTCGGGTAAAAAGTAATTTCACTTCACTCTATATCAATATTAAGATAAACGCCTCGACCTTACGACAGGTATAATTAGAGGAGGGTCCCTCACCATCAGCTTTTAGGAGTATAGTTTTGGGCGCGAGGAGCCCCTTGTCATGGGGAGGTTCTGAGGCAAAGGCCAAGGCCGAGGACAAGGCCGTAGTCAAGGTCCAAAGTCAAAAGACAAGTGCAGACAAGTTCAACTAACGGAAGAGTGAGTGAGTAGCCGGAAAATGAAAAATGAAAGGTGTATATATGTAATTGATGAACATGGGGATTTGGATATACATGCTACCAGGATTGGTCAAAGTAACTGGTCCTACACCCGAGATCTTATTTGCATACTATCTGTCAAATATTTTGCCATATATGCTTAAAAATATCCAGGGGGCGATACATGTCCTCTGGGCCTCTTGTTACATCTCTATTTCAACCTATCATTCCATATAGATACATCAGCCTGTGAAAGGTAATGTAATGAGAGCTAAAATACAAATATTAATGCTATATTTTGGCCATATATACAAATTACTTATTGATTTATCAAAAATACTGCAATCATTTAGTTATTTATTAACAATAACAGCATAAGAAGATAGTATTCCTGAGATATATTCAACTGTCATTTCATTTATCTCTACCAATATTAGCAAAACAACTGACACAAAACAGCATAGGTAATTAATACATACTAAGGTGCATCTACCCCGGGTAAGTTGAAAAAAGAGGTCAACTGTAAACTTCCCTGTCTAGTAATTAGGACTGACAACGAAATGTGCACTCAAACAGAACGGGATCAAGTGCTGGTATACAGAGAGTATAGTAAATAGTATATACATATAGAAGACATAGAATCGGGAAACAAGCCTAGTTTACTGAACTGACAGAGTCCATAGTTTAGTAAATAAAGTTCCTAAGAGTTTACTTAACTAACAGAGTCCATAGTTTAGTAAATAAAGTTAAAGAAGAATTTTGCTGGGACCAAATAACTTGGTCGGTTTGTACATAGTCAATAGTAATACATAATTTAGCTGACATGAGCTCACAGGTTGTTCTTAATAAGGCAAAGGGCACCCAAGAGTTAATTTATAATATCACATGTTTTGCTGTTGAAGATTAAACCAATGTGATTTGACTTAGTTTTCAGACGTTGCTAATCAATCATATATAAATACATACCTAGAGTAAACGGGATGACCGCGTAAACAGGTGAACTACAATCAAACTGCTCCCTCCCATGTCTTTATACCACAGCTAGTTAAAGTTATACGGTGACCTCTGACCTCACAGATTCACTACAGTCAGACTACTTCATCTCTTGTTTTGTGACCACGTAAATGAATTCTCTATAATCAGAGCACCTTCTTCACAGACGGGAAATAAAAGTTTACATGGTGACGTCATCGTAGACAGATTAGGCACGGTTCATACATGGGTAGCCGCGGGTATCGTCCAGTTCCTTCAAGACAAACAGTTACACTGTCGTCGCAATATGACGGACATCCTAACGACATATGTTTATAAAATAATCAGTGATATTGAGGACACTCTGTAAATCCCACACCGGCCTGTGAAATTCTTGTACAATCATGGCAGCTCATTGCACACTGATAAACATACAGGTGTGAAGAGATATTTACGGAATAGCATTAGGACCACCTATCATAATTATTTTTTTGGGGGGAGGGGGGGTTATGGGGGGAGGGCGTTACTTACTACTTCGACATTTCCTTATACTTACTCGAACTTTCGACTTATTAATTCGAAATTTAGTGACAATTAGTGTTTGAAAAAACGAAACTAGTTTTTTGCTACGTGGCCTGAATACTCTTCCATAGTTACTGACTCGGGTTTTACACAGGTGAATCGTTTGCATAACTATCGATAATATAGTAACGTTGCACAGATACAATAGATTTAAATAGCATTTACAGATATCGGTCACATTTCAAAGGCACTGATTATAACGTGGAAAAATTTGTTCATGTTACAAATAATCAGGTGCAACAGTCATATCTTATACACATACATGTGTAATCATCCATGTACATGTATATAGCTGACGCGCCTTATCTGACTATACAATGTAATTTTGATGAACAAGGTTCGTACAACAATTTTTCAATTAAATTCAAGGCTTTTAAGGACCCATTTAAATGGGCGTTTTTCAGTAAAATTAAGGCATGAAATCTCCTGCCATTCATAACAAAATTGGTCAAAATACACGGATATGGATGTGTTACCTGGATGCAGTTAAGCTCACCATATAAATGATCATAGCAAGATAATCTTATTCAAGGATCATTTTTATCCTTTCAAGACTAATTAAGAGCTTTTATATCCTTTTCAACATTGTTTGCCTTTCAAGGCCAACTCTTTGTTTTAGTGCCTTAACAAACACTGATGAATCCTGTTTGAAGAGAACAGCACATTCACGGAACTGTTAAAAAAATATATGATGAAATGAAAGAAATATTACCAACAACAGTGTTCTGTTTGAAAAAAAATGGAGCAGGGCAATACCTGGATTATCACCTAGGGCCTGGACCTCTGATCATTATACAGTGGCTCTAATCTACTGAGCTACATAAATGGTCACCGATCGTGTTCTGACCCATCCTCACTACAACTTTCATACTCAAAACATAATAATTATAATAATAAATCGAGGTTTTTATATACTGCTTTATCACAACCTAGTTCGTAGGTCGTCTCAAAGCGGTTCACAAATTATTATCCGTGGTTATAAGGCATTTGAAACTAGCCAATATCTTTCTCAACTCCCTGGGGAGCATACAGCCGGTGCTGCCATTTTGGCGCACACAGCTAGCATTCTACAATTCTAGCACTGCCCAACCACGTACTCATTTACAGCTGAATAGACTGGAACAAACGGAGTAAAGTATCTTGCTCAAAGATACAATACAGTGCCGTGCCGCGACTCGAACCCGCAACCCTTCGGTCAAGAGCCCGGCGTCCTACCACTAGACTACCGTGCCTCTAAAACGAGAGTCAGGAAAGGTTTATACATATACGAAAAACTATTGTGAACTTCATATGTGTTTCGCCTGTGTAATGTATGCAACCATTCCGGATAAACGCGTTTCTGATTTTATACACATACTAAAATAGCACATGTTGAGCCACCATCTTGTCGGGTTGTTTATTGATCATGAACATACATAATATTGGCGACGAGTGAAAACTAACGGCGATGGCGGCAGCATTTGGTAAGATCGAAGCTTTTGAGGAGGCTTTGGAGTCATGGGAACACTATACAGAGCGTCTTGGTCACTATTTCGACGCAAACGCGGTCGGTAATACAGAGGCCGCTGACAAACAAAGGCGAAAAGCCATACTGCTCAGTGTATGTGGAAGCAAGGTTTATAAACTTATGAGCGATCTGTTAGCCCCTACCAAACCGGGAGATAAATCCTATGATGAACTGGTGAAAGTAATACAAGATCACTTTGCACCTAAGCCATCGGAAATCGTGCAAAGATTTAAATTCAACAGTCGTTCTCGACATCAAAATGAGTCGGTTTCTGAGTACGTCGCGGCGTTACGTAATTTGACTGAACACTGTAATTACGGGGAGACATTAGAAGCGATGATACGTGATCGATTGGTATGCGGAATAAATAATGACCGTATTCAACGTCGTTTGTTGTCAGAAAAAGACCTAACTTACAAAAAGGCCTTTGAAACAGCCCATGCTATGGAGATGGCGGCACAAAACGTCCTTGATCTTCAAAACACTAAACCATCAGAAAAACTTAATAAAGTAACATTTAAACCCCAAAAACAACCTGCCCACAAAGTAAACAAAGCCCAGACTCCAAAATCATGTTACCGCTGTGGTGGTATCCATGACCCACAGGAATGTAGATTTAAGGATGTGGAATGTTTCTATTGTAAAATGAAGGGACACATTCAGGACAAATGCAGAAATAAACAGAGAGATGAACAAAAGAAAAGCAGAGGTCCTAAAAAACCATCCTACAAACGCCCATTTGTCAGAGGAAGAGGGGGGAATAATGTACAGGGGAATAATGTACATGCCCTGGATGATGAGGATGACGACTACGATGAAATCTATTCCATGTTTCGTGTTAGTGAGGGTCGAACACCCTACTTGGTAACGTTAAAGCTAAATGGCGTTAGCACATCTATGGAAGTTGACACCGGTGCGTCATTGACTGTCATTGACGAGACAACCTTCCGCTTAATCAGCAAAGGTCCAGGAGAAGTAAACCTTCATCCGTCAAATTCAAGGTTGAAAACATACACTGGGGAAATCATTCCAGTTTCAGGACAGTGTAAGCTGACTGTCGGGTACAAGGATTTCCAGAGTCAGTTGTCACTAGTAGTTGTGAAGGGGAACAGCCCATGCTTAATCGGTCGAGATTGGCTACAACACATAAAACTGGACTGGAGTGAAATATTCAAGGTCACAAATTCGAATACTGAGAGGGGAGCAACTACGTTTGAGGGCTTGGTGCAGAAATATGAACCGGTATTCCGTGACGAACTTGGAAAGTTTCAAGGTGTCAAAGCGAAATTACACGTCGATGCGAATGTCAAACCGAGGTACTTCAAGGCTAGACCCGTGCCATATGCGTTGCGTTCCAAAATTGAGGACGAATTAAACCGGTTGACTAAGGAAGGTACCATAGCGCCAGTGGAATTTTCCGACTGGGCGACACCGATTGTACCCATCGTCAAGGCTGACAAGAGTATTCGGATCTGCGGCGATTATAAAGTAACAGTGAATCAAGTTTCCGAGTTGGATAACTATCCTATCCCAAAAACCGAGGACTTGTACGCAACACTTGGAGGGGGTAGTCAATTCACTAAACTGGACTTGAGCCAAGCGTACCAACAGTTGGAGTTAGATGACGAATAAAAGCGTTATACTACAATAAACACTCACAAGGGACTGTTCCAGTACAACAGGCTCCCATACGGCATTTCATCCGCGCCTGGTATATTCCAGAGAATAATGGAAAATTTGCTCCAAGGAATACCTCAAGTAGTCGTTCGCGTAGACGACATTCTAGTGACCGGAAAAAATACAGAGGATCACTTATTGCACTTGGAAGAAGTTTTAGCGCGTCTGAACAAAGCTAACGTACACCTAAAGAAGGGAAAGTGCGAGTTTCTATCAGATGAAGTCGTGTATTTAGGTCATCGCATTAACCGTGACGGTAGTCAGCCCATTGACGAAAAGGTCCGTGCAATTAAAGAATCTCCTGCACCCACTAATGTCAAAGAGCTTCAAGCTTTTTTGGGGATGATAAACTATTATGGCTGTTATCTAAAAAACCTCTCTACGATTCTGGCTCCACTGCACGAGTTGTTGCAAAAAAATGCAGAGTGGACATGGAAGGAGAGACAGAAGAAAGCATGGAATCAGGCCAAAGATTTGTTGCAATCTTCACAACTACTCGTACACTACGATCCAAACAAAGATTTGGTACTATCGTGCGATGCTTCGCCATATGGAGTAGGTGCTGTGTTATCGCACATCATGGAGGATGGTCAGGAGAGACCAATAGCCTATTCGTCAAGAACTCTAGCGGTTGCCGAGAAAAACTACTCACAACTCGAGAAAGAAGGTCTAGCTGTCATATTCGGCATTAAGAAGTTTCATCAGTATCTGTATGGAAGGCGATTCACCATTTTCACAGACCACAAACCACTGCTGGGTTTGCTTCGGGCAGAGAAAGCTATTCCTACAATGGCTTCTCCTCGCGTTCAACGTTGGGCGATTCTCTTATCAGCATACGAGTATGACCTCATCTACAGGAAAGGTGTTGAAAATAGTAATGCAGATGGGTTAAGTCGATTGCCGCTGGCCGATACGACACTGCAGGTACCGACACCTGGCGAAACCATATTGCTCATGGAGTTCATTGACCGCACACCCATCACTGCGAAACAAATTGCAGATTGGACTACACAGGATTCAACTTTCAGAAAGGTATCCGAGTTTATTCTCTAAGGATGGCCAGAAATGTCCAAGGATGAAAGTTTACGTCCATTCACATCCAGGAAGTGTGAACTAACGATACATAATGGATGTATTCTGTGGGGTAGTCGTGTCGTAGTCCCCAAACCTGGTCAAGCGAAACTCTTGGAGGAAATGCATGAAGGACACCCAGGCATAGTTCGCATGAAAAACCTCGCGAGGAGTTACATGTGGTGGCCAGCAATAGACACTGATATAGAACTGACAGTAAAAGGATGTGTTGACTGTCAACATCAAAGTGCGTTGCCACCTGTGGCACCATTGCACCCATGGGAATGGCCAGAACGACCATGGCTACGCATACACGTTGATTACGCGGGTCCATTTATGGGACACATGTTTTTGATCGTGATTGATTCTTACAGCAAGTGGCTAGAAGTATATCTAACAAAAACCTCTACGTCAGGAGTCACTATTGAGAAACTTCGACAAGCATTCGCCACACATGGATTGCCCGAAATGATGGTGTCTGACAATGGAACATGTTTCACAAGTGAAGAATTCAAAAGGTTTTCATCAGAAAATGTCATTCTGCATGTGAAAACATCACCATATCATCCATCTTCTAACGGGATGGCCGAACGCTCGGTGCGTATCTTCAAAGAGGGAATGAAGAAAATGGAGAAAATGGAAGGAACGTTGTCAACAAAACTTCAACGGTTTTTACTTGCTTACCGTTCAACACCACAGACAACGACTGGATTAACTCCTGCTGAACTGTTGTTAAACCGGAAGTTAAGAACCAAGTTGGATTTGGTAAAACCGGAAGTGCGCGAACGCGTGACCGATCAGCAGCAGTATCAAAAAATGTATCACGATAGTAGAGCAAAGGATCGTTCGTTCTGCGTCGGTGATACAGTGTTGGTGAAAAACTTTGGGACTGGACCGAAGTGGAAGTTTGGTACGGTGGCCTCAAAATCAGGTCCACTATCCTATTCGGTTGAATATGAGGGAGGAGGAGTAACGCGACGTCATGTGGACCAAATTCGTCAACGTCATTGTCTGTCTAATCAGGAATCAAACCAGGAGATTGATTGCGAGTCGTTCGATGAACAACGCGAGTCTAATGACCCACCACAATTCGAATCACCGTGTGTTACCGCTTGCGATCCGCAACCTCACTCACCCACAAAACCTGAGTCGAGACCAGAACAGTCTGCGAATAAATCAGACCATGCCCGTCCACAACGCGCCAGGAAGCCACCATCATATCTAAAGGATTTCGTGACGACCAGCACCACTTAGGAATAAAATATCCTTTTTCATATTATACTTAAGCTTTAAGCATATGGACTTGGTTCGTACTTAATCATAATGGTGTTTTATTCCTGAGAACATTGCGAAGTGATTTATTATACATGTAATTAGGACTGGATAAGGGTACGAAATACCATAGGACTTGTTAAGGAATGTGTTTCAGTATTAAGTAAAACTAGTCAATTATTTCAGTATTACATTACTGTAATTTAGTTAGTTACCATAGTTACATATAAGTTCTTGTTTAAACAAAAAAATGTCTCAACTTAAAAGGGAAGGAATGTAATGTATGCAACCATTCCGGATAAACCCGTTTCTGATTTTATACACATACTAAAATAGCACATGTTGAGCCACCATCTTGTCGGGTTGTTTATTGATCATGAACATACACAATAGCCTGCGATAGGACAAGGATACTGTAGCAGAAATATCATTTTAATATATACCGAGATTTAGTTACAGAAATCAGTGATCAGTTCATATTAATGCTATACAGCCCAGAAGCATAGGTCAAGGTCGAATGTAGACATTAACTGTCGGCCTCGTGTACGGAGACAGTAATAACTTTGAATGCGATACTTTGAAGAAAAAAATATGAGCAGTTTTTGTTTGGAAAGGTTATTGTTCGTCTTTTAATAAAAAAATAAAAAAACGATCTGTTGGCGATAACGCGTGTAACCTTTTGCCCGGGTTAAACATTGTCCAGATACACATAAGATTCCACTTTTGCTAGAAGACCGGACTGTCAAACCCTTTCATAGGCTTTATATCACAATGAAGAGGTCAAGGTGCCTTATTACCGTATCTGGAATTTTAATTCAATTAAAACCTGAATATACGTGAATTCAAGACATCCCTTGGGTTGGGCAAACACCAAGGACAAGAGTCAACTGTTTCCGTGTTAAAGCTAAGAACGGAAGTTCCCGGGGATGAGGCAAGACCCTGGGTCAAACCTACTAGCATAAGTGTATTCGTGTCAAGTAATGGTATTTATGGTTTAAGTGTGAGGATTATAACTGTTTTCATGTGTTAAGCCATGGATTAAGTCCTCATGGGTTCAAACAAATCCGGAACAACCTAGGCCTGTATTCGGTTGGAAGATGTGATTTTCTACTTTTGCCTATATAGGGCCTATCTCATGCCACGCTTCTCTGACGCCCGGGGATGTACAAAGTTCATTTATCCAAAATATGATTACCTTTCCTGAGTTCTGTTTCAGACCAAATATGGTAACAATTTGTTTAGTCCTTTAAGAGAATAAGTCTTTTATAGGCTGCGATGTTCCACTCGGACTAAACTTGTGTCAAAAACTTGAAACCTTGGGTAATGATACTTTACATCCGAGGTTTTGGAGAAGTGTGGCCATATTCCAACTCTGTGAAATCAGGACATTAAGTTTTATTTATATTTTCAAACTGATATTTCATAGAACGGGACAGATATTTTTTTCCTTAAGCTGTATCTTGGCGATTTTGTTTTTAGATTAAAAAACGATCGTATAGAGAGTATTTCAACTATCTCGCTTCACTTTTTATCAAATTTCTAATGTTAACCTAAACGACTGGATCTTACGACAGGTAATGCTGCTTAAATTATTGTCATTTCAATTCAATCCAGCATTGCTAAACATTTTCTTCAAGTTGGTAATTATGGATTGTGAAAATATTCATGTAGCACAACCAATAAGTGTTTATAATATATTGTAAAGTATGTACGAGTTGCCCACAAATCGATGTCGATTCGGCTATGCTGTTAGCGTATGTACAGTAAATTGTTATATATGTACCGAAATGACTCGATTCAGCTCAGTACGCGCACGCTTTGTTTAATACTTGCTCATAGATGTGCGAGAGTCTATTAGCCCCTTCAATGATTTGTGGAAACCTCGTACACGTTTTACACCTTTAATTTGTGTGCATACGCTTCACTGATCATTTGTCTGATAAGGTGACAGAGAACATACCGTACTAGTCATCGAAACGATTGGTGCAAAGTTTTAATTATTTTTGAGTAAACTGCTCGTCCGTGTACAAACATGTATTTCATTATTCACAAAATAATTAATGATACAAACATTCTCCATTCAATGCAAATTTGACAATTTTTGTTATTGTAACGATATTAGAAACAAAAATTAACGACATTTTGATTGTATGTATGTGCACGGAATTAGAATATCACGTCTTTCCAGGGATACTGTCCCTGGTCTATCAAAGTCCGTGGTATGTGGAACATAAAATTAACTTTGTCCTGTCTAACTTTGGCAAACGGTATGTTATCTTCACTAAAAAAAAGATGTAAATATTTATTAACATTAACATTTCTTGTGACGTCATCAATTTCATTGTTGTCAACACTTAATATGCTGTTCAATTCATTTGAACAAACATGTATTCATCATATATTTGATAACATTTGACCCCCCAAGCTTGACCTTGAAGTTAGATCAAGGAAACTGGAGGACATAGGGCCATGATATTTGGCCAGTATGTACCTGGGACAGAGTACTGTAACATTTCCTCAATTACATGACCTTAACCTACTTTCAAGGTAGCAGGGTTCAAAATGAAAAAAATAAAAATCGACATCTTATTTTGAATAACCAAGAGGCCAGTAGTTACCTGAGGCAGAGTGTTATAAAGTTTCCTCAAATAAATGACCTTGACCTTCTGTCAGGGTCACAGGGGTCAAATATGTAAAAACCTTTAAACAACTTCTTCTGAATGACAAAGAGTCCGAGAGTAATAATACTTGGCCAGTAAGTACCTAGTTTAAAACATTTAATCTTCTTCTGAATAACCAGGAGGCCCAGAGTAATGATATTTAGCCAGTAGGTACCCAGGACAGATTGCTATACAGCTTCCTCAAATAAATTACCTTAACCTACTTTCAAGGTCATATGATTAAACATTGTAAAAAAAACCTTAAAACATCTTATTTCCAATAAGCATGAGGCCTAGAGCAATGAGATTTGACCAGTAAGTACTTAGGACAGACTGATATAAAGTTTCCTCATTTAAATGACATTGACCTACGATCGACGCGACAGGGGGCAAATATGTAAAAACAAATCAAACAACTTCTTCTGATTAACCAGGAGGCACAAAGTAATTCTACTTGACCAGTAGTTACCTTGCATGAAGTGCTATAAAGTTTCTTCAAATAAATAACCTTGACCTGCTTCAAAGATCACAAGGGCCATGTGACTTTAAACCCTTTAAACAACTTCTTCAGAATAATGGCCAGTAGGTACCTGGGACGGAGTGCTATAGAGTTTCCAAAAATAAATATTCTTGACCCACTTTAAGAGTCACAGGGGTCAAATATGTAAATTATATCTTAAAATATCCTCTTCCGCAATACTGGGAGGCCCTATGTGATGGTACTTGACCAGTAGCATGCTAGGATAGAGTAGTATAATGTTTCATTTAGTCTGAAACATCCCTAAGCCAATGAGACCTAACATATAGAAATATTTGCAAAAGCACTTTTATTGAGATTATTTTTCCTAGATTGCTCAAATATCATGGTGAGCGTTGCATGCCCTCCGGGCCTCTTGCCATTTATATAGAGTATTGATATTTGCAGATTACCAAGAGAACGGATTTTTAATAATTCATTGTTTTAATTATACATTTTTCATAAGTCCTAAAACACGACAATAGAGAAGAGTTTATATCATTTTACTGCTCTGTAAGTTTATTAACACTTAAGTATATGACAAATCGTACTTAAGATTTATTTCATAAAAGGGGTGATGAATTGAGTTGGTCTTGAAACAAATTTAATGAACTGCGAAGCAGTTCATGTTGAATTTGTTTCAAGACCAACTCAATTCATTACCCCATGAAATCGACCACAGCAAGATTCAAACCTTATATTCCAATCAACGTGTGTTTTTTTCTCTCAATAATTGGAACTTGTGAAGTCCATTCTGATAGTTTGCCCCAGGTTCTGGAGCTTGTGCAAGTCTGCGTATTGACGTAATGTAAAACAATATAGTCCGTCATTGAAGGACCACCATCATACAACATGATAGGGTATGTTGATAGTTCAATACAGCCAAATTATGTAGAAACAAAACACAAAACCGTATTTTAAATGCCATATTTAATTTTTGTTGATGAATCCATATAGATATCAAATTTTCTGACGCGTTTTCGCGGATGAATATTGTCTAGACGCGGTGCGCAGGTTCAGCTGCGAGTCTACGGCAGACATCTTTTTATTTGCTCGAAGTGGAGAGCCGCTCAATTTTGGAGGTTCTACATCTTCTGGAATGTGAAGCTGCAGTAATTGAATCATGAACCCCTGCAGGTCGGAGATCGAGAAAAGAATACACCAGCTGCTCCCCACTGTATGTATCGTGAGATGCGACTAATGAGGGGACCCTTGCAGAATTGGGGACACACTATCGACACAAAAGCGACCAAAATAAACTTGCTGCACCCATTGCAATATTTGGTATCTTTATTCTCTTTCTGCTTTAAGTACATTTTATTTTCTAGCGCATTGCTTGACAATAACTAACTTTTGGCTTTAATATTGAGCGTTAGCCGCGTTGAGGAAGGCCATGGGTTCTGTCCCAGGCCGGGACATACCAAAGTCCATAAAATTGTACTTGTTATTACCTGCTTAAGGTTCAGCATTTAGGGGAATGACAACAACTGGAACTGGTTCACCCGTTGTCAGTATAGTGTAACCGGACGGAATGCTGTGCTGGGTGCCATTGGCATGGCATTTCAGTTAGATAGCACTATAAAGTCGGTATCAGATCCGCGCTATCACAAGGAGGCAAACCCCGTCTCCGGCACGCATACACGTATGCCCAATACACATGAAGGCACGTGTCAAATTCACTTGCCATATGGGAGAAACAATGTACGTGACGACAATCAAATAACAAAGCGACACGACCGACTTTGGAATCGGTGATTGATTAATGAATTATGAAGATACACGGGAATGGGAATTCATTTAAGGGA